AAGAAGTATGGACCAAGCGCAGATGGCTGTCTAAGCCTCGCACTGCGTAGCCGTGTTCCTTGCAGATGAGAACTTCGTGCTCTGCTAGATAGACGTAGTTCGACATGGCTGCTGCGATTTCTTGCTGCTCTGTCTCCTCAATACTGCCTTCTTGACGCGTCATGACTCTAGCTGTGTCGTCCTCGCCGGCTGGCTCTAGAGCGTATTCGGTCAACCGATATGCTAGCTCCATGTCTTCTGGCTAAATGCAAGTCGAGATGGATAATTGTATACTTTCTCTCTTGCTGGATCGTTCATAAGAGAAGCTTAGTGTACGTATGGAACGATGAATAGTGGCAAGAAAAGATAGAGCAGAGAAACAGAACGGAGCGAGAGATTCGCCGACGCGTCTTACCCTTCTCGTAGTGTCTCTTATCAGAGAGCTGTCGCGGAATACACACGCAGAACCTTGCTTGTAGCATTGTGCGACCTGTGGGCTGATCATGCGATAACTATGCATCTTACTTGCTGATGGTTTGCGATATCTCATGAGAATGGTCTAGCGGGACACATGTCTGTCCAATGGGGTGCGGGGGCTAAGCCTGGGACGCCTCCACCCTTGTCAAATCTAATATATATGCTTCGCGTTTCCCCGCCACGCTCTTGCGTTTCTTCAGAATTCAGCTTAGCGTACTATCTTTCTCTTCCACTTTCTCTTTTCCCCCTCTTTTTGTTATCTTACACCTTGCTTTTCTCTCTTGCGCGATTTTCCTGTCTTGCTCGGGCAGGGTGGATCTACATAAGTTTGGCAAAGAATCGAATAGTAGTTGTCACTGCAACTGTAACGATGGCGGGTGTGAAAATGTCCGCACACGTGTTCTCTATCGACTTGAACCAAATTCTGTCGGTGCTGTAGCGACCGCGGATCTCCAGAACGATGTCGCTTCTCCACAGCGCCTTGTCCGCGACGCTTCGCAAGTGCCGTCAGCGGTGCCTCTTGCACCTCGGCCCTCTGCACTTCCCTAGCACGCAAGCGGTCGCCGGACCGAGCGCCCCTACGGCGTCTCAAGTGCAACGTCAACACCAATCCCTTCGAGCTAGAGCCGATGCTGGAGAGACCGAAGCTCGGCTCCAGATGATGTCGCCGGCCGATGTCGAATCGGAACTGCGCAACCAGAGACTCCCAGACAAGCCTGACGTCTCGATCTGGGACTATCTGAACAACCCCGGTCCCGATGTCTCACCTATACAAGCCGCGAGCGACCTGCTTGCTGCTGCAGCCGACCGAGCGGAGAGCGCTAGTGTCCAAGCTGCTTACATCTGGCGATGGGTGAAGATCAACAACCTGTGGGACACTCACCCAGACCCAAACCTTCGTAGTGAACAAGCTTTCATTAACAGTGTTGCTAATCACAAAGTGGTCAAAGTCATGGTCGTCGTTGGCACCTCTGCTCAATGGTCTAAAGAGAACCACCAGCAATCCATTGCTGAGATATGGGGCGACAACTGGCTTGATACTATTCCTGCTTCAATGAGACCTGCCGAGTCTGTCAAAGACCTATCTAAGAGAATGCTGAGTGAAGTGGCCATCACTAGTGCAAACGTGCCAGATCAGCAACAAGCTGTGATCGGTTGGCGTTGTGCTATTGAGAGACGTCTTGATCCTGCAAACCGTCCTCCTCGAACGCGAATCTTGAAGACTCGTAAGCTTATTCCAGAAGATGTCAAGTTCTTCAACAGTACCATGAATGCATCCGCCTCGAGCGTTCGGGAAGATGTGCTAGAGCTGATGCCTGTGGTCCCGACAACACCGCAACAGCAGCCGACTTCTGCTATCCGAACAAAAGACAGTTCCCGGAAGAGAAAGCGCATAGAAAACGATGATCTTACTATCGCCAATCCTGATTTGGAGCCAAGTGATGGTACAGATTGTCTGGATAATGGTCCTCAAGACGTAGCGGAAGCTACGAATACAGTACGCCGAGACGGCGAGTCTCGAATCAAGAGAATCCGTGGCCATCGGATCATTGAACCAGTCACTCCACCTTGCGAGTCTCCTGCTGCTGGCCTGTCGCAACTGTTAGATGAAATTCCCTTAAGCAGTTTTGATAACGAAGCGGTGACATCGGCTGATGGTTCTGATAATGCGACAACCTGTGATGGCCCTGAATTCGCTCGCATGTTTGCTAAATTTGCTGAGATCCACGCATATTTCGAGAAGCATGGCACCTCATCATCGAAACTTGTCCGTAACTGTTGTGACTCCTGTCGCGACTATACGCTTCGTGCCCTAGCATGTCTGAAAGCAGATCTTATACCTTCAGTGGCTGGTATTGAGCAAGTCAAAAACATATATTTGGTGACCGGGAAGTGGTTCCAGGCCGGACGCTCAATGGGACCACTCAAGAACCTACTCCTCACTTGCAAAAATCTAAACGCTTGCTGCGAGTGGTTCAAGATTCTTCTGACGAAGAAACTGAAGAGTTCACTATATAGATCACAAATTTGACCATATATCTTACTCCCAGATCTTTGGTGTTAATGTTGTTGGGGTGACCTTGCATGCCTACAAGAAGTCGGGTGGAGTTGCGGGCGCAATTCTTGGCAAACTTCGAAAGTCATACTTGCCATATTTTGGACAACGATACTCAACAAGTCGCAGCCAGAATCAGAAATCTAAATGGTGCAATTGCCTTTGTATCATATTAACTCATCTCTACCATAGTTTTACAAATATTGAGTCGTGTTCATACAACTTACAAGATCGGGGTTCTACTACGGGTTCAACTTCACTTCTACCCCGCCAAGCGCCGAAAGCATAACCCCGCGAAACCCTTTTTAGACGGGCTGTAGTGCAACCCATGGATTCTATTAGCTAGGTGGTTCATGATTCTTCAGATGAAGATAATGAAGAAATAAGTATATAGCATCAAAATGCAGCTCATTCCTTATTCAATACTGTCGTCTGTTATTGGTGTTGGGGTGACCTGGTTTGCTGCGGGTCGTGGCCGCAAGCCTTGGCAAACTTCGAAATCCTCGACCACCATGTTTCGACGACGATATCCTGCCAATAAGTACTTACATGAGAATTCTAAATGGTGCGATTGTTTTCGCATGTAAAGCCTAGTGACTTACCATTGTTTCATGAATATTCAGCAAGATCTGTGTGAGTTATAAAATGTACTTTCCGTCATGCCTTCCGTCCTAAAGATTTCCTGTTTCGGCAGCCAAGCCTCCCCGCTATACCTAATTTAGCATACCTTCCGATGGAAGGTATGGTTCCTATCAGCTAGGTGGTTCATGATTCTTCAGATGAAGATAATGAAGAAATAAGTATATAGCATCAAAATGCAGCTCATTCCTTATTCAATACTGTCGTCTGTTATTGGTGTTGGGGTGACCTGGTTTGCTGCGGGTCGTGGCCGCAAGCCTTGGCAAACTTCGAAATCCTCGACCACCATGTTTCGACGACGATATCCTGCCAATAAGTACTTACATGAGAATTCTAAATGGTGCGATTGTTTTCGCATGTAAAGCCTAGTGACTTACCATTGTTTCATGAATATTCAGCAAGATCTGTGTGAGTTATAAAATGTACTTTCCGTCATGCCTTCCGTCCTAAAGATTTCCTGTTTCGGCAGCCAAGCCTCCCCGCTATACCTAATTTAGCATACCTTCCGATGGAAGGTATGGTTCCTATCAGCTAGGTAAAGAAAGTAGATAAGGAACGTATATAGAAGCGTTTAAGTAAGGATAGGACTAAATAGCTAGTTAGAGTATAGATTTACCTAATCTTACGCCTAGTTTTACCTTTAATAGCTAGTAAAGAAGATAATGTCTCTACTAGTATATAAAAAGGTTTAAATAAGTTAATATTAATTAGAGATACTAATAAAAGTAAAGCTAAAGAAGATAATATAAGTAAAGATAGTAATCTATAATCCTATAAGGTATTAACTATCCTAAAGAGAGTAGTAGATTATATGCTTTAGACCTAAAATAGTCTAAGATGCTATATTAAGTATAAAAAGCTAATTAAAGGTATATACTATATAATTAATTAAGTAATAGAAGTAGTTAAGTTATCCTATATATAATAATAGTTATTATTTCTTATTATTAGTTATAACTAAGTTATCCCTACATTTTTAAAGGTCTAAGCGTCTAGACGTTAGATACTCTTATAATAGGTATAGTTTAAGCATTTATGATAGCTTTATTTATAGCTAGATTAATCCTAAATTTTGTAATTATTCTATACCTACTAGGACTTACATTATATTAAAATTTTAGGTAAGTTATATACTATTAAGGTAAACTTTCTTACTAAACTTTCTTACTATAAATGCGATTTTTAACGCCTAGATTTATATAGGCTTTTCTATACTTAGTAAACTTTTATAGTAAGAATATTTGCTTTATTATATATATGGTTTATAATCTTCTTTATTCTAAGTATATCTTATACCTATAAGTAATTAATATAGATAGTTACGAAAAGCTTAAAATAAAGTATTAATTAATTAGAAGTAATATAGTATAATAATTAGATTAAAATAAAGATATCCTAAATTAGTTAATAGATTCTATATTATAATCTAGCAGAGTGTACTCTAGATAATAATTATAAAGCTACTATCTATTTAAGTAATAGTATACTATTTAAAGATATAAATATTCTAGTAAAAATAGTCTATTAAAAGTATATACTAGAGGTAAGCCTATAATCCTTACTAGTAACTAGACATAAAACAATCTATACTACTTATGTTAATAGAGAAGATCGTAAAGGGCACTTTATAAGTAAGACATGCTTAATGCACGTGACCTGCAGCCCGGAACATCCTACCTCCTTCGGAGTCGCCACGGGCAGATGGGGTCATTTAGGCGTTACACTCACGGACCCAGCTCTAGCCTTAGGGAATTCAGACTTTGTTCAATTGCCCTTGGCATTTCGATGTTGACTTCCACTCGGTTCTCAACTTGCCTCTCATAGTCAGTTCGTCGCATGCGGCCCTGTCATGACTTCGACGGCGCAATCGTCTGATCGCCAAGCACAGCTTCCGACAACAAAGCGCCATCAGATAGCCGTCGCTTGCAACAAATGCCGAACGCGCAAGATCAAAGTCAGTCATCGGAAGTGGCGCGTTGTGATGTCGAAAGTTGAGTTTTGTCCAGTGCGACGGGCGACGCCCGACGTGTGCGAAATGTGCCGACCGCGATTTGGACTGTGTCTATTCCGCTGAACCAGACGCACCTCCGATGATCGCTCTCAAACGCAAGCATGAGGCACTACAACGTGAGAATGACGAAGTCAATCAACTTTTGAGCCATCTCAAATCTGTTACTCAACCGGATGCACTGAGAATCTTGGACTTCTTTCGCGGTGGTCAAGATGTGTCGTCGACCATTGAATTCGCGCAGACGTTACCTGCTCCCGGAGCATCTGCCGAGCAACTTCTTAGCACATTTCGAGACCAGAATGTGTCTGATGGATCTCTGACATCCGTGCCGTACGGAGGATTCTCAAGTCATGCTTCGGTTGCTTTGGATTTGAATGGAGGCCGTGACAGATATGACAGAATCACCACTCATCCTCGTCAGTCCTTCACGGTCGATTCGGGTACCACGTTGCCTTCGATATCTGCTCTACTGTATGCTGTCCCATGCCTCTCTTGATGAATTCATTAATGTCGCGAACAGTGCATCCCTTCGTGAGCCGCTAAGTCCAACTCTACCACCTCAGAAAAACATGCGCATTAGAAGGTCCCCGAGCGCGCCAAACCTTCGGCAGGTACATGCCATTCCATCGAGACATCGTACATCACCTTACATCTGGCTGTACGACGATCGACTCTCCCATGCTAAGGCTCAGGACTGGAACGTCACATACGTAGACGATGTGGGTTTTCGAAACATCATCAGTTCGTTCTTCGTCTGGGACCACCCTGCGATACACATGTTTGATGAAGATGATTTTCTTGATGGTCTGATCAAATTGCCATCTGATACATGTTCCGAAATTCTTGTTCATTCAGTCCTGGCATATGGTTCGGTAAGCTTTCTGTTCAACAAAATACGCGAAGCGAGACTCTGACTGAACAACCAGGTGAATTATGCGCACGTGGATCAGGATACCGCCGCAGCAGTACTCAAGGCCTCGTGGGCCGAAGCTGAGCGCCTTTGGGACACGTCAATCGACAAGGAATACGAGTTGGCTAGCGGCGCTGCCGCCATGCTGATCTGGGCCTTACACACATTCAATGGTGCCGACAAGCTTGGAATGCCATACCTCTCGCAGATGCGACATATCACCACGAACTTGGGCTTGTATGATAAACAACGGCGTTCCGAAGTCTATGATCCTGTGCAACCCAGAAGAACACAAGCTAGAGCTGTTTTCGCGTGGGGGATGCATGATTGGGCAGTGTGAGTTTCAAATCATGTATTGATTGACTGTGAGTTACTGACTTAATCAAAGCTTCGCTGAAGTCGCATTCAGGGCTGATCTGGGTTTCAAGGACGAGCCGCCAGTCAAGCCGCCGAGAGTGGCGAGCAATCCAGAACACGAAGAATGGATGCCTTGGCCCTGGCCGAAGCAAGGAAGGACGGTTCCAGCGCTCAGATATGAGATTTTTGCTGCACAAGCGGGCCTTGCCACTATCTTCAAGAAAATTATTCCTCTGCAAAGACAGTATTCTTCTGGACCTCTGAACCAGGACTATCTGACAGCTTCGCTTGACCTCTATCAACAATTTAGAAGTTGGTGGGACACCATTGATCCAATTCTGAAGAGCATGAGATTCATGGACGAAGCACCGCCGCATGTTTTCCAAGTCATGTCAGTAGCTCATCAAGGCTGTAAATTCTGCAGTCGTGAGACTAATCGAGATGGGACATTGAGCTGACTTTTCGCAGTTGCACGTATCATTTTGCGATCGTAGAGTTGTTCCGACCATTCACAATGACATCTTCGCATCCTACACCACATGCGGCACCACTAATCAGGGCTAAGCTACCGATAGAGCCATGTCTGTCTGCCACCATCGACTCTGCCTTGCAAGCCCGTGCGCTTCAAAATCGGATTGCGAAGCTCTACAGCCATGATCAGTTCATGAACTTTTTCCCTTTCTATGCGCTTCCCGTGGCTTTCGAGACCCTGCCCTCGATCTCCTCACTGAGTCCATCGTTCTCATATCACGCCGCCGCTGCTTTTCTCAATGCCCTTCGCGTCCTGTTCCATGCCAGCAAGCAGCTTCCAGTCATCCAATATGCAGCAATGGGCATCGAACAAGCGGCGTCCACCATGAACATTATCCTGCCCGATGAAGCGAAGGCGATATTCCAAGCTTTGAAGCGCAGGGTTGCAGAGGACGACGACCGCGACAGGGGTAAATCGAATTGGGTTGTTGTTTTCAATACTGCTAACACGAACGTCCAAGCGTCAAGATTGGATAACCTTGTCAGAGAACTAAACAATCTCAGACTCGCAACTTCGATACCTCACCATAGAAACAATTAATGTTGCATACATTAGGGACCAATGAGTAAAGATATATGAACCCCTTCGACTACGTGTAACCCAGCGGATATGCTAACAAAGCGACCGCATGACGTTCAAGAGGATCTGCTGGTGCGGTGTGTAGAAAGTATGGGAAGTGGATCATGTGTGCTCATCGTTTGGGAACTTCGAGATGTGTAAACTCACACTGGGACTTGTGGAAGGACCTAGTGCCAATCAAGCTTGTCGATTGCAGAGATATCGTTATGCCTTGCCATCTCAAGTAGCAAAGCGCCAGCTATTGACCTCGCCGGTCTCTGCTTCCTTCTTATCAAGTGCCTTGTTCTTTCGGATGCACCACCACCTGGTGACTAAACAGGAAAGAATGGTAATTCCACATCCAGCAATGATGACACCGCCGCCAGTCTGGTATCTGGGTTCTTGGCTGGTGAGGAAGAAATAGGGCGAGAACCAATGACTGATACTGCTGACGCAATTGGCGATGGCGATGAGCGCAGCTCTTTTGGTCCGAGGCCTAGGAACGACAGTTGTCTCCCAAGAGATCTGGATGTTGAGACCGACGAATGGTCCCGAGCAGAGAAGGATCAATGCAAAGTATCTGGCACCGGTGTTGAGAGTGGAAATCATCATGATAGCACCCACGAGGCAGACCGCGATGCTACCAATGATATGCCAGCAATACTCCAGATGACGACCACTGGACCAAGAGACACCAAGTGTGACAAAGTAGGCGATAATGTAGGGCGGTGCCTGAACAAGATACGTCACTACCTTGGAGAATCCAAGAGTGGCCATGATCTGAGCAACAGATTAGCATAGGCTCGAAGAAGCAACACCATGAGGGCAAAGACTTACAGATGGGAAGAAATCCTTGAAGGACTGAGCAATGATAAGAGCGAAATGCAGAGACGCAAACATCCATGTGAAAGGATCACGAAGGGCCTGGCTCACACCGCCCCAATAGTCGCCTTCATCATCTTCGGAGACACCACCTGCAGAGACAAGAACACGCCATTGGGCCATTTCCGACTCTTCGGGGGTGAAGAAGTATGTGCCAGTGTTGTTTGGCCAATTTGGCAGGAGCCAGAAGCCAGTCAAAGCAACCACAATGCTAACGATACCCTCGAGGATGATGAACCATTGCCAAGCATGAAGGTTGGCGATACCATCCATATTGGTCAAGATCGCTGCTGCAAGCAAACCGGAGATGACATTGGATATGATGTTGCCAGCATGCCAGATACCCATGCGAAGCGGAGACTCATGTTTCGTATACCATGAAGATGTCATTAGAGAGACAGCGGGCAGAAATGGGCCCTCCGTGAACCCAACGAGGAATCTGCACACACAGAAAGACCAGCCGCTCTTCATTGCAGGCATACATATCGTGACGGCGGACCAGGCGAGCATACAGCATGGCATAAGGATGCGAGGATTGCCTTTNGCGATGATGACGTTGGCAGGAATCTGCGATATGATGTACCCGACGTAGAACATGGAGATACCGGTAGACCACATGACATCGTTCATTCCCAGATCAGCCTGCATACCAGCAAGACGGGCATTCGAGACGTTGATTCGGTCGAGATAGCTNACGAGCAGGTTGTGTTAGCAAATGGCTTCAACAGTCGAATGGACGGAGAAGTACTTCATCAGCAGCATGGCAGTGATACATGGCAAGAACTTCCAGTCGAGCTTTCTCAACACTCTTTTATTCAACGCAGCGAGTTCTTCGTCAGATTTGTCACGAAGAAGTGAGAAGCCCTCGAGGTAGGTCGATTTGACAGGAGCACTCTCAATGTGCTCGACAGTCTTTTCCTTGTCAAGGACAGAGAGGGGGNNAGATGAAGGGCGCGAAGGAGGCATGTTGTAGACGATGTTCAGATTGTTGTGAATGTCTGAACAGAATCAGAAGAGACGGCCGTCTTTATAGATCTGAACTCCTCCTAGGAGGTAAATCTGATTGTGGAGTGCCCCATGGGGTACTGCTACACAAACCGGGATCCCCGCACATCTCTGCCAACACATGGGGCAAAGATGGACAATAAACTACGAGTAGCCAATACTCACGTTGATCTCGAACGATCGGAGGCATGCCGAAGAGAGAGATGCGAAAAGGAACCTCTTGGTGGTGGCTGTGTGTGGCAGGGTTCAAATGTTGCAGTCCGGCTTGAATCCTCTGTGTATGTGCGGTTATCGAAAAGGAAAGCTACCACACAGTGTTGTGCGAGGGATTGAAGCGCCCAGCAAAAACTCCGACACCCATCTCCCTTGGCAACTAGGCATTTGAAACCAAGACAAAAGTCCGAGATGCTTTTGACATCCACACAGAGGAAATAGGGTGGGTAGACAATCTTGGTTGTCAATGCCGCCGACGTGCTGCCTTGGCCATATGGGAGCAAGAGTTGCGTACAAGGCAAACATGCTGCCAGGCCGCTAATGCCATTTCGATCGTACTGTCGCGACAATATCAACTAGTCGTCAACTATCCTGGTTCGATTGGGTTCAGGCTCATCGAGTCAGCCGGCAAAAAGATGGATGTCAACATTCGCAAACGAACTCCCATTATCAATGATCTGTCTGCGACTGGGAAATCAATGACGACAAGTGAAGTCACCAAGATCAAACAAATCTGCCAATAGACATCGTGGTATTGCTGACGATGTGATCTAGTTTCTGGCCACAGATAGCTACGCCAAAGATATAGGCAGACATCAAATCTGTGTGATGGTATTTGCATCGAGACACTACGCGAAGGTGCAACAGAAGAAGGCTACGAAGAAGCGACATCCGTACTTGATTATGACTTAGTCTGTATCAAGTGTCAAATCCACCTCTGCTTAGCTGTCGACTGTCGAAAGCATCAACCTCAACACGCATTGCCGAATGGCTATTCGGAAGAAAAGGGACTTATTACGGAACCCTGGAGACTAAAATCACGTCTGTTGACAGACGACAGCCATCGGAGTGAATTCATTATTGCGAGTCCACGACCGAAACAGTCTTAAGCGTAGTCGGTGACGTCCATTGAAGGCCGTTCTCAGCAGGATGCTTGGAGATTCCATAGCTGTATGGGCACTGCAAACCAGATGGGATGACTTTTGATTGCCCTTCTTGACCACGTACCGATGTCTGTGCAGGCATGGGTACTGGTCAAAGATTGTCGCAGGACTGTACCTCAATGCCGGATATGAATGTGGGTTTGTGACACCCATAGCTGTCAAAAGTACATGCTTCGAGCAATTGAAGACTCGGACGCTTGGTTACTTGATACAAGATGAGTAGAGACGAACGTCACGAGCCTTCACAGTGTCGTTGCTTGCGCTCAGGTTCGCGAGCCGTACGTTGGCAAGTCTCCATTTGACCTCAGCTGATCATCACCCCGCAGATAACCGTTCGTGATTGTGGGGCCAAAAGCCTATCGTAGAGTCTTGGCTCAGAGATGGTCGGACTTTCGGGTTCTGTCGGCTGTGCTTCTCACCGGACGGACTCCGACTCAGTGGGTCCTGTGTTTGCTGTGTTTGAGCATGAAATACAGGCCAGACAGACATGCATCGAAGCTCTGCAAGATGCTAACTGTACATCAATATGAACTTCTATCCAGTCCCACCAGTCATCGAAGCTCGAGTTCTAACACGCATCCCGGAAGAGCTGCGTTGCAAGGGCGAAAGTGATTGGCGTGGAGGCTTCACTGGAGCCTTTCAAAACATCTTCCTCGAAGGGCCAACCTGTGACGAGGATGGTCACCTTTACGTGACCGATATACCTTACGGTCGCATACTCAGGATAGACAAACATAGCAAGCAGGCTACTGTTTGTGTGCAGTACGATGGAGAACCTAATGGCATGTCACGCCGTAAGGATGGTAAATTCGTTGTTGCAGACTACAGAAAGGTAAGCAGCATCGAAAGCAATTCGCTTGAGAAACGTCGGGCTGACAAGTCCACANAGGGCCTTCTTCTGTTCGACCCAAAGTCAAATCAAGTCTCGCCCCTCCTTACAAGAAACAATCTCGAGAGTTTCAAGGGTGTCAACGATGTGATCATCGACAGCAAGGGCAATGTCTTCTTTACTGATCAAGGACAAACTGGTATGACAGACCAATCCGGCAGGGTATATCGTCTCGGCATTGATGGCAGATTGGACAAATTGGTGGAGAACGGTATCTCTCCCAATGGGCTTGCTCTATCGCTGGACGAGCGATTCCTTTACGTGGCAATGACTAGGTCAAACGAGGTATGGAGGCTGCCATTACATAGCGATGGCTCAACATCGAAGGCCGGGGTTTTCTTTCGATCTTTTGGCAATGCGGGGCCTGATGGAGTTGTGCTGGATGAAGAAGGCAATGTACTCATCTGCCACCCGAGTCTTGGCTCGGTCTTCGTGGTGGACAAGCACGGTGTTCCCAAGGCCAGAATTGTGAGCGGCTCGGGTGGTATCAACTTGACCAATTGCGCGTTCGGAGGCCCAGAGGGAAGGACGCTGTACATCACAGACAGTCTGGAGGGCAATGTTCAGACGGTCGAATGGCACTGTCGAGGCGCGTTGTACAGATAGACACGATCGCAGAGAAAGCCACCCTGTTCTGATGACATAAGCAATTCTTCCGAGGTCCGTGCTCCAGATCGGCCGTTTCTGCCTCAAGCTCTCGCGTGCCCTCCGCGTACTTTGTCCAAGTGCAAAACCGACCAGATGGAAGAGGGTGATAGTCGCTTGCCGTCATGTCAGGCCTGTCGCCGAAAGAAAATCAAGGCACGCTAGCACTTGCGAAGGAACATGAGACCATTCATCTGATACCTGCTTGGATAGTGCAATAAAGATGTCCCGAAATGCTCAGCTTGTGCCGCATCGCAAACCGAATGCGTCTTCGAAGATCTGACCTCTGCCCAAGTTTATTCACGCGAGTATGCCGTTTTATTTGTTCAGTCGTCGACTCACGGAATGACTGACTCCTCTTACAGAGAAATTGCCCACCTCGAAGAACGGGAACGAAATCTTCGGGCAGTTCTAGAGGAACAGAATGCTCCAAGCTACCACAGCAGCAGCAGTCCTGCGACTGGTCGACATCGTGGCAAAAGATTTGTTGGCGATGAAGTCGGATTGAAGTCAGTGATGAAGTGCCATCATCTGTCTGATAGACGCTAATTTGTCTAGTCTGTTTCAGTTCATGTTTTCATCGTCAGCATGGAAATCTTCACGTCAGCGACTCTTACAGTGTTTGGCCTACAAACCCAAGATTGCAGAGCCACTAGCCACTCAACATCGACTGCCACCGCTGGACATGGCAACGCAACTCTTGAAATTCTATCTCAACGGCTCACATGTCATGCATCCTTTCCTTCTGTACAATGAGATTATGCAGTCTTTTGACGCAATATACCGGACCCCAGAACCCCGACAATCTTCCTCACAGGATATGTTCACCATTTTAATGATATTTGCAGTAGCTGCAGTCACCATGCATCGACAAGGCAAGATTCGCGAACATCCATATGGATACTACTTGAGCGCGATGCGTCATCTGGGCCAGATCCCACATACTAAGGGCAAGAAGGGGGTCCAGAACCTATTGCTTGTGGCTCGCTTCGGCATCTATCATCATGTTGGCACATCGCTGTGGGAACTCGCGCGCCAATGCATGAGGGCATGTATCGAGATGGAATATCACTTGCCGCCGATCATACCAGGACGGACCTCGGATGAGGAGAAGCAACATCATCAGCGTATCTTCTGGGAATGCTATCAGCTGGACCGGTACAGTTCAACAACATTGGGCCGACCGTTCGCGATTGCCGACCATGATATCAAGGTGGACTTGCCTTCAAGGGTGGGGCTGGATAATGCTACCTCCATCGCTCTTGGCCCCACTTCATTGACCTCGTCGGACCTCTCGGTGTTCATATACTCTGTACAACTGAGACAAATCACCTCTCGCATACGCAGCAAACTGCTTGCCATGAGCAGTAGCAGCCATGAGCACCATCGTTCGTTCATGGCCACTGGCGAGATCTACGCCAGCCTTCACAAGTTTCTTGCAGAATTAGACGCCTGGCGTGCCTCGGCGCCACATTATGAGCAGCATACATGCTTGTATGAAAATCAAGAGTGGTATGACTTTCTGCTCGAGAAAGACAAGCTGTTTCTCATGCGAGGTGGCGTCAACTTACTGTTCAAGAGCAGACGAGGCGTGTCACAAGACATCATGCGACTATGGGGACGATGCGCTACGCGAGTTGTGGAACTTTATGCTTCGTTGTATCGGGCAGGGCTTATCACATTTACGCGGAGCTACTTTCAGATGTTGTTCCATGCGGGTCTGTCTGTGATGTTCTGCGTTTCTTCCGAGGCCAAGAGTCGCACCGGAGCAGGCCGATTGATCCCGAATTTTGACGCTACCCTTTCTACCTGTGGTGATGTGCTAGATGCCATCTCAGAGAAGATGCCAGACGCTCGAGGGTATGCGGTCGTGTTTGAGTCTATGAGAAGGTCGGTGTTTGATAACTTCTCGGCATCTCCTGCCACTACTGGCCATCCGGCAACTCCACAAGAGTCATGTACAACATCACATGCGTATGAAGATACCAACTCGGCGTATCATCAAGAGCAGCATCATGTCATGCCTCAGACTGACCACACCGCGGGATTATACATGGCTTCTGGAGCAGTCCAGGCACCGAGCTTCCCACAATGGATGCCCGAGATGGACTGGACTAACATGGATGTGAGCGCTATGCAAGGAATGGAAGCTGGATTGAGCGAATATGTGTGGGGCGATCTCAACATCAACGCCGACATGTGGAACAGGATTGAGCATATAATTGACGAAACTATCGACGATGCTTGATTAACATGACTATTGCTGCTTGACAAATTCGAACAAATAATCCACTGCAGCTTTGGCAGTCTCCATCTGCGTCTGATCCGTAGCCGCTCCGATGTGTGGTGTGCTGACCACTCTCGGACTTGACCACAGTTTGGCATACATTTCCTTCGTCGGCGGCTCTTGCATGTGACAATCGAGGCCTGCACCCCAAATCAAGCCTTCGTGGAGTGCACGAGCAAGATCGGCTTCGTTCACGATACCGCCTCTGGCAGCATTGATGAGAATGGATGTTGACTTCATGCGCTGCAGCTGAGTGTATGAAATGAGATTTGTGGTATCCTTGACCAATGGTACGTGTATCGAGACGACGTCTGCTGACAAAACCTGGTCGACAGTCGCGGCACGTTCGTGAGGCAGATCCGACCAGGCATCTTCTGGCAAGAAGGGATCGTATGCAATAATGTGTGAACCGAAAGCGCCGTGGAAGATCTCTGCGACTCTGCGACTGATATTACCCATGCCGATCAGGCCGATGCTTCGTCCAGTGAGAATGAGACCAGAGCAGGTGGCCTTGGAGACCGCCTCGCCGGCACCTTGCCTAAGTGTGATTGGTCGGATCTCGCGGGACACGGTCATGGTGAGTGCAAGGACAAGTTCTGCCACAGCAGTCGCATTGATGCCAGGCGTATTGAAGATCTTGACACCCGCAGCCTTGCAAGCAGCGGCGTTAATCTTTTCGATACCGACGCCCTGTTTGCCGATTGCTCTGAGATGCTTGGCTTGGGCAATGTCATCAGCGGTGACCTGTGATCCTTTCACCAAGAGGTATCGAGCATTTTGCCTCCAATTCTTTACTTCTGGATCTTCAGGGCCAATAACGTTGAAAAGAGTCTTGCAGTGCTTGACAGCTCCTGGATGGTATTCATCGATGAGATATACGGTCGGCTTTGTCGACTGACCGTCCAATTGAGGTTTAGGACTTGAATCAATTCTTGAAGGAGCCATGTTTTTGTGTGAATGATGAAAAGTGTATTGAGAAGAATCAAAGATGTCGGCTGTGAGATTATATTGTCTGGGTAGTATAACCATGCATTGTCATTCGGGCCAGAAGAGGAGGCTCGGTAGAGTTCCGTCGGATATCCGACGCTCGAATGTCGTGGAGAGCGTTCCGAACGAAGCGGGGCACTTTNCCGGGGTTGTCGATCATGGCAAGAACGAGACCGTCTTCGGCTCGTCCGATTCCGATCGCATTCGAGTCGGTAAATTTGAGGCTGACAATCATTTCCAGTGCTTTTCGGAATAGTTTGGCTTCGTCGAAGGCTTCGGCAACAGCATTGAAGAGACCAAACGACAGGTGCAGCAATTCCACCAGGATCGACCGGCTGGCGCATGTTCTTTCTTCGACTGTCAAACAACACACGACACAAGCGCTGAGTATATCGTAGAGATCCAGTCTGCATGGTATCAGAGTTCCATCGTCGAGACGTTTTTGCAACAAAGAAACAAATGTTCGGGCACGCGACAAAGTCTGTTCTTCAAGACTCTCTTCGTTCTCAAACATGTGCAGTCTGCAATCACGTACACCACGTAGATCGGACAAGGATATATGGACCAAAGTACGACAGGATAGTTGTAGCAGATGTCCATTGGCATCGACTGATTCGTTACTGTAGGACTCGACGTGGCCAAAGTTCAGAGGCAATGTTTCTTCCCAGTGTCTAAAACTGCTGAACTGGAATAGCAGTTCACCTTGCATCGATGATATGAGTTGAGCTTGGTCAACAAGATGTATTTTGTCGGCTCGAGAACGCCTAGCTTGGTGGTTGTTCGCATGCCAGAACGCTGACGAGATGTCTTCATCTTGTAAGGCAAACGGACGGTGCATGGAAGAAGTAACACTTCTCTCGAGCAAGTATAAAGAGATGAACAGTTTGCGGCTGGCAGCGGTGACAGCAGGAACTCCTTCCGCCGTCGATCCGCGGTGTACGCCCAGGAGTACCGCTTGCTGAGCTGCCATGTTCGCCAAGCGCCATGGACATCCTCCATTGTCGCCATAGAGCGCATATATCGTGAGCGCAAGAAGACAGCGCAGTCCCGTGAGTGGAGATTGATCTAGATCATTTTTGGTGATCAACATGATGGCAACGTGATGCAGCTTGGTCGCAAGACCTTGCCGGTGACGAGTCTCCGGTGTCACTAGTATACCGATGGCAACAGCAAGATACACAAAGGCGAATGAAAAAGCCATCTCACCTTCGATTGCTTCACGGTCGTTGTGGCGCAACACGACCAACTTGTGATCGTCTGGCAATTCGTCGTAGTCAATGCCGTAGCGTGCATCGAAGTCGGAACGAAATTTCGCAAGAAACTGTGCTGTGGCATCATGCGGGAAGACAATATCGGATTGTGACTGATTCAGAAACTCTGTGATGGGATCCCCGACCCCCCTCGAAGGTCCTGCGGTTTCGGCACGCAGAAAGGCCGTGGTCGACAAGGCAGAAATAATGTCATGGTCTCCGGGCTCGGCCATGGCAGTCAAGACAAGGCTCCCTATTTCGTTCAAAGTTTCGCGTGAGTGCTGGGTCTCCATTGGATCGGCTTGACTGGTGGCCGCAGTTTCATTGTTGTCGTCGTCCGACGTGAGCCGTTCTGTGTTCACTTGATGATGAAGACTGTGGCCGTCCAGACGTGCTTCTTTGTTGGCTTGCAAAGTCTGCAAATGGTCGACCTTGCGCTTGAGCGAACTGATGTAGCTTTCGCCACGTTCAATGGCAAGGCCGACCTGATCGGGCGCAGGCGCGTATGTCAGATTGCGCGAAGCACAAGCAGCGTTGGCTTCTGCACAGTTTGTGCAAGTCGGAAGCAGCCTGTCACATTTCTGCTTTCGCCGCCAGCACCTTTCGCACGCTTTCCGTCTGATGGTAGCCATGTCATGGCGAGAAAGCAGTCGACAATCTCTGCTCGGGCGAAGCCCGATTATGACTTCGCCCGACATCGGACACAACGAGGCGTCCGAAGATCTTCGTCTTCGACTTCCCCCGCTCCCGTCGATGAGTCAAATATGACTGCTGTTCGACCAGAGCATCAACGTACATGAACACCATGCGGCCAATTTACCAAAGACGACAAACCCGAATAACAGTCGTACATCTCTTTCTTCGCGCGGAATGACTCAACGAGACGGGCCTGGGCAGACCTTGCATGACCAGACGCAGCTCTTGCCGAAGAAGGAACTCCTGGTCGTCTTCACGATAATTGCGCTCTCCCTGTTCATTTGCGCAGCAGAGCAGAATGGCATTGGTGTTCTTTTACCGTCGATTGCTAGAGATCTGGATGCACAAGCGAGTATCACTTGGGCGGGTACTAGCGCCCTTATCGCCAACACGGTCTTTCAAGTCCTGTATGGTCGCTTGAGCGACCTCTTCGGTCGCAAGAAGATCATGCTTTCTGCCCTTGTGTTACTAGCACTCTGTGATCTTGCTTGCGGCCTAAGTGTCAATTCAACAATGCTATACGTCTTTCGTGGTCTTGCTGGTGTCGCAAATGGTGGCATCACAAGTCTATCGATGATGATTGTGAGCGACATTGTCACACTCCAAGAGCGGGGTAAATACCAGGGTATCCTGGGTGTTATGGTAGGAATGGGCAATGCATTTGGTGAACACAATTCTTTGAGCGTTTGCCGAAAGTCTCACTGACAACCTTCCTAGNGCCCACTCATTGCGTCCGCTTTTGCCATCAATTTGACATGGAGAGGGTTGTTTTACCTTCTGTCGCCATTCACAGTGATCGTTGCTGTGGCTAGCTACGTGTACCTTCCATCCAACATGCCAAAGGTCGATCTGTGGGAAACAGTCCGGAGGATCGATTTCCTGGGTCTCTGCACCGGGACTGTATTTATTATTCTGGTCCTTGTCGCCATCTCCCAAGGCGGACATCCTAAAACACCCTGGGACTCCCCACTTGTCATCGCCATGCTGAGTGTTGGAGGGGTCTTCGGCGTACTCTTCCTCTTTGTTGAATGGAGGGCCACGTTGCCGATGATGCCCTTGGATATGTTCCGGCGCCCATCTGTTGCAGCCATGCTCGCTCAAAGTTTTCTCTTCGGTGCCTCCTACTTCGCTTACCTCTACTATCTGCCGCTTTACTTTCAAAACGTCAAAGGTTTATCACCACTGATGTCGGCTGTGGTGTTCTTGTCTCTCGTTATACCTCAGTCTGCTTCGTCAGTTGTGGCTGGTCTTTACATGAGCAAGTTCAACCGCTACATCGAGGTTGTCTGGTGGGGCTTTGGTATATGGACAGTGGGATCTGGTCTGATGATAATGTGCGATGAGAACACCCACCTTGGTCTCGTAGCATTCTTCTTGATCCTGACCGGATGTGGTACAGGCAGCATTTTCCAGCCGACCCTTGTTGCACTGCAAGCCCATTGTCCAAAGGAGCAACGAGCCGTCGTAACGTCCAACCGCAACACATTGCGAAGCCTGGGTGCCGCTGTGTCTTTAGCTGTATCCGGTGCTTTACTTGCCAACACGCTCAAGCATTCATTGCCGAAGGAGTTACAGTTTCTCGCAGCCGATAGTTACGCGGCTCCAGATCTGAATTCATTCAGCCCTCAACAGCTCAGACAAATATCCCAAGCCTATGCATCTGCAAGCAGGTCGGTCTTTATATGGTGTTTCGTGACGATAGCTATCAGCTTGTCACTCACAACGATCATCAGGGATTCTGGGTTATCCAGAAAAACAGAGGAACCTGACCAGCAACAAGAAAGTGATTCTGAGAATGTGCAGCTAGAAGAGAGCAATGAGCACTCCAAGAAGTTCTAGACTGGTCAGTACCGATATAGGGAATCGGATGGATGCAAGAGGTTCAACTAATGGATCTACTTTTGATTCGATCGAATTTTGACATTAATCTATTGACTGATGCTACGCCATTCATTGCCCTTCGTCTCCTCGCTCCACTCAGCCTCACTGGCCCAGCTGGAGCGAATCCGATGGCGCTTCCCCGCACGACAAATGACCGATGGGTCACCTCGATTCCCGACGCACACAAGCGCTGGCACGGTACAACGACTTGCATGGGTCGTTGTCCGATTCCACTTCCCGCGGCACAGATAGTTTCCGATACCGTTACCGGCTTACCTTTATCTGTGCTCTGGCGCTATACAATTTTTAGGGTTTACTACCATGTACAATGTTGTCCTCAGGACAGGCTCAGAATCCCATCACGGTCTCGGAAATCAGAGCTCTGGCGAAGGGGCGACTTGACTCAGCTACTTGGGACTACTACACTGCTGCTGCTGATTACCAACGCTCTGCTCGTCGTAACGCACTAGCCTTCAAGTCGTAAGTGAGCGAAGAGCCTGGGGAAGTCTCATGCTGACTGGTTGTAGACNTTCTACTTCGACCCAGAGTCCTTCGTAACGTCCGTGTCGTTGACACCAGCACTTCAGTGCTTGGGAGGCGGTACGACTCACCTGTCGCTATCGCTCCAACTGCGTATCAAAAGCTTGCCGGTGGTAATGGAGAGATCGATGTCGCTCGAGCAGCTACTGCGCTGGGCACGAACTTCGTTCTCTCCACAAATGCCACCACTTCACTGGAGGACGTCGCTGCCGCATTATCTGAACGAGATGAACGATATTCCAAGCCTTGGTTCCAATTATACTTGCTTGGTTCACGAAGCCTGAGCAAGAAACTCATACATCGGGCGGAGACCGCGGGATACGAAGCCCTAGTACTGACTGTGGACACGCCTGTACTTGGAAATCGTCTGCATGAGCGCAAAACCCCTTTGCGTCTCCCTCCAGGCCTCACGACAGCAAACGCAAGATCCCGTCGTGTAGGTGGTGTTTCCAAAGCTGGACTACTTCTTCGAGCAGAGACTGCTTCCGAAGCAAAGCGAATCGCGGATGAGCATCGCGATTCTCTTGTGGACTCCACCATGACCTGGGAGAACGTTGTGCCATGGTTGCAGGCCCAAACATCAATGAAGATCGTGCTGAAAGGAATAATGACTGCGGAGGATGCACAGCTTGCGATAGAGTCGGGGGTCGACGCGATAATTGTGTCGAACCACGGCGGACGCCAACTAGATGGCGTTTCCTCGACCATAGAAGCCTTGCCAGAGGTTGTCACTGCTGTCAGGGGAAGAATACCGGTGATACTTGATGGAGGTATTGAACATGGAACGGACGTCTTCAAAGCACTAGCTCTCGGCGCTGATCTTTGTGTGATTGGAAGAAGCGCATTGTGGGGTCTGGCTTGGGATGGGCAGAAAGGAGTGGAAAAAGTACTAAACATCCTTGAGAGGGAGCTGTCACGCACGATGGCTCTGGTGGGAGTTTCGAGGGTGGCGGAGGTCAGTAAAGATCTGCTTGGTCGCGTAAGGACAGATGGGTTCGGGATAGCGAAGCTCTAAACACTTTTTCTACGCGAGGGAGAGATACCTGCATCGGAAAGCTGAAAGACACAATAGCTGCTGTTGATAGACCCAACAACTATTGTTTGTACTTCGTGTCAGGCGAGTGAGAAGCCAAGCACGTTGGGGTACAATCGGCAGTTGGCACCCGATTGCGATGAACATATATATCGGATGGACCCCTTGGTTTTTCCTTCCTCAAAACGCCTGTTCCAGCGAGCATGAACAATTCTTGGGACTGTCATGTCCACTGCTTTGATCCAGCCGAGTTTCCGCTCAAGCAGACTCGCTCGTACACACCCTATCCCGCAGCACTCGACACGCTGGTCAACAACGTTCAATCACGAAATCTGATCATTACCCAAGCAACAATCGAAGACGGGGTCGCTGGAATACAAGAAATTCTATTAAGAGCGCGAGCATGTCCAGAACTCCGTCTTGTGCGAGGTACGATCATGGCCAGTCACACCCAAAACCTCGACATGCATGCAACGCAAAGGCTGCACGAAGTTGGGGTCCGGTGTGTTCGAATCCACGGAACTTACGGTGGAGCTGGAGGTGACACTGGCTGGATCACTGAGCAATTCAGACTAGCGGCCTCTTCAATCGGGGTCAAGCAATATGGCTGGTACATCTCTGCTCAGCTGCCCTTGCAGACTTGGGCTTTCCTCGGACCTTGCATCTCGGAGCTCAGAGACGTGACGGTCATTGCGGATCATAACGCTTCAGCGGGACCCTCTGACTTGGGTCTTCCTGCCTTTGCGGAGTTTCTCCAGCTCCTAGGCGCACAGAACATAGTGGTCAAGGTTGGAGCCTTACATCGGAGGAGTATGGGGAACATCGAAGCGATGAGACCAATTATAGAAGCCTTCGTCGCAAAGGCCCCGAGCAGAGTCATCTTTGGCAGCGACTGGCCGCATGTGGATGCATCGAGGGGCGGACAAACTCCGACACCACACCTGCAAGATGTGGATACTGCAGAAGAGTTAAGAATGATTCGGACTTGGATGTCCGAAGAGCAGTGGAACAGACTCATGCAAAGCAATGCCGAGAGGCTTTTGCAAGGTAAATGATGAGGGCAAGCTTTCAATGCCACATCGGACAAGGACCGAAGACAAAGCTTAGAATGGTTACCCAATGCCGGGTTAGATGTGCGGGGAACACGTATGGGGTACCTGTGGAGGCTGGTTCCCGTAGAGTATTGCAACTGCTTAATCCGTCGTATGAACCAACATATAAATGCAAGTTCCATTGCAAGACTTCAATGAGAGCAAAACTGTTGAACACTCTGTGAAACATGGCCACCATGGAGTCTGATCAAAGCATCACAAGAAAGGAGTCTGTCATTGCTGAGATGATCGAAGACACCGGCAAGCCGGAGAAGATCATGGACATCTATCGTTCATACGAGCCCGAATATGCCGCACAAGCAGAACGCCAGCTTGTCAGAAAGATTGACAAGAGAATCTTGCCTTTGGTTGTCATCATCTACCTGTTCAACTACCTTGACCGAAACTCCATCACTCAAGCTCGTCTCTACGGACTTCAAAAAGACACCAAGGTCAATGGCGCTGTTTATCAAACCGCCATCTCGATCTTCTCTGCTGGCTATATCTTCATGCAACTGCCATCTACGTTACTCATGACCAAATTGAGGCCGTCAATCTTTCTTGTATGCTTCACCCGATATCTCGCAATGATCTCAAGCTAACATTATCTAAGCCATGCTGTATCATCCTATGGGCAATAGTCAGTGGTTGCACTGCAGCTGCTAACTCTCCCGGGTCTCTTTTGGCAATAAGGTTCATTTTGGGCCTTGTTGAATCGCCCTTCTTTCCAGGAGCGATTTACTTCTTGTCGTGCTGGTACACAAAGAAAGAGCTGGGCATCAGAATGGCGCTCTTGATTTGCGGTCTTCTTCTGTCGAACGCATTTGCCGGACTGATCTCTGCTGGTATCTTGAGGGGTATGGCAGGGGTTGGTCATCTACACGCTTGGAGATGGTTGTTTATCCTTGAAGGTTTGTACTTTTCACACCAGTACCCGGCTGGTCAAGCAAGATAAACTAACTGTAGCCCTCCACAGGTCTTGCAACTGTCTGTGTCGGATGCATCGCTTTGTTAGTCTTGCCAGACTATCCTGCGACCACTCGCTGGTTGACTGAGGAAGAGAAAATCATTGCTCAAGGTCGACTCGCTGCAGATGCAGGAAGTGATGACGTTCTCGGAGAAGAGAAAGTATCGATCTGGCGTGGTATCGCTTGGGCAGCCAAAGACTATCGCGTCTGGTTGTTTGCTGGGCTTCAGATGGCGACCACGGCCTCCATCTCTTACTCGCACTTCTTTCCCACCTTGATCCAGGAGATTGGTATCAAGAACCGCACAACTGTGCTTCTACTTACATCGCCGCCATACCTTGTTGCTTTTTGCTGGGCTCTTGGTCTTGCATGGATCGCTGATAAACGCCAGATCCGATCTATCCCCGCTGGCATCTCTTGCGTCATCTCCATGGTCGGAACCGTACTCTTGGTTGCCCTGCCTCATTTGTACTGGGCTCGGTATGCGTTCACTTTCCTGGTCTGCATCGGCACTTTCGGCATCTACTCAACCACGTACACCTGGTTGTCGTCGACGATCCCTCGTCCACCAGTCAAAAGAGCCGCTGCCATTGGTATTGCTAACACCTTAGCGAATTTAGCCTCCTTGTTTGCAAACTATTTCTGGCTCGATGAATACGAACCAACCTTCCAAGTCTCATGGGGCATTCTTCTGGCATTCCAGGCCTTTGCTCTGGCTTGCATCTTGACGTTGAGATTCATGTTACAACGCAAGAACAGAATGTTCACAAAGCTCCAAGGCGAAATTAATGTTAATCATGAAGCGGCGGTGCAGGCTTTGGACGAAGATGCCCAGAGAGCTATCAAGAACCATTTCAGATATGTGGTCTGAAAACATCAATATTTGTCTAAAGCTTGTTCACATAGTACTCTTGCGCAATTGTTCAGGTAGAGCCTGCGTATCGAATGTTGTGCCTCCTTCCTAATTTCAGTGACTGCTCTTGCATGGCCAGCCAAGGATGTCAGTACCGAGATGCGCGATCTCGTGAATGTTGGCTTGGGCCTTGAGCTCATCTATTTTCCAGTTCATCCAGACCAGTTCACCCTCTAGGGAACTTGCTTTAGGGATGGACGGCTTGGGTAACCTCATCATGCTTACCATCTCGCTGGAACACGTTGTAGGGATGGAGCCCACTGACGCGTTCCAGGACAAGTTTTGGAGAAACAAAGTGACTCATACCGTGCGCTTCCTCTACGCTGTCAACAATCATCAATGACGAGCAGATCGTTCTTGCCATCTAGGACGTTCTACACCCAGCGCTGAGAAGTCCGGCCATCCAGAACGTCGCGGGAGTGAGGTCTACTCCACTCCCTTATTGAGGCGTCCTTTGTTGAGATGCACATGACGTGGAGACCTTTTCTGAAGGGCTTGGATCGATGTGGACGTGCCTTCCGAACATCGTCAAGGTCTCTTCATGGAAAAGACAGATCTGGGTTGTGGAGATTCCCCACACCATCAGCGGAGGCGTGATGGCGCCTCGCACCACCTCCGCGACTTGCCACGGAGCTGGACCGTAGCTGGATCCTTCGGAGTATGTGTGTTTGCCGTCAGAAAAACTTCTGATCACAAGTGTAGGCAGGTCTGAGTGATACTTCCCATGGTGATATCGCGCGCTGCTTCATGGAGATTCCCAAGGATCTCACCCATCGCATCAACTCAAGAACCCTCTCAAAGCTCTTGCAATACAATGACTCGCGACTCCAAGGTCATTGTTGCCGGCATATCCGTACTGACCAAAACATTTCCAGTGATTCGGGGTGTGGAGTTTCCCGCGACCCCTCGAGTGGTCACTGTACCGAGCACCGACCGTCCGTCAAGCTTTGCTGGGGTATAAGCTTGTCGTCGGAACAACCATTGCTCTGTCGGGGCAGGTCCGATAAAAGACTGTGTAAGCGTCGGCTTACGCGCGATCTCTTACGTCCGGGGCCCCGGATATATACCCATGTGGGCCGTTTGGGGCGTAATTTTGGCTCTGAACACTGGCCAGGCTCTCCATAAGCCTTGGTAACAACTCAACGGGCTTTTGACACATATATCTCGTGTCTGTCGCCCATTTCCAAGCTTGAGAAGTACCAGTGTCGCTTTCTTCACTCAAGCCTTCGCCATGACTGCTAGAACTCTGCCCGCTGTCGAAAAGCTTGATAATGCGTACATTGAAGATGCCTCAAAAACGATCACGAATGGGCAACAAGAGGTGATCATCCGGGAGTTTGATCCCAAATTCATGAAGAAGACCATGCTCAAGGTACTTGGATTTGACGTTTTGTCTGAAGATTGCGCGCTAACTCTCACAGNNCTCGACTTAATCGTGATGCCTCTGTTAACATTGAGTCCGTGGCGATATCCATTCCTGGCCCAGAATTGATCGCTGACCGAATTGCAGNTCTATCTTGCCTCCTCGTTGGACAAGTCTAACCTGGGCAATGCAAAGTCACTCGGCATGATGAAGGATATCGGCCATGATCCCACCGGCGATACCTACGCGCTGCTCAATTCCCTCTACTACGTGAGCTATGCTCCATTCAGTAAGTATCAATCGCAGTCACACCTTGAGTAGCCAGGTTAACAAATTATAGTGGTACCTTTCGCTCTGCTTGGCAAGCGTACACGCATGGTTTCGGTCCTCACTCTCTGCGCGCTGCTTTGGGGTATCGCCGCAACGTGTTTTGCTGGTGTACAGAACTACTCGGGCGCCTTTGCATGCCGGTTTTTCATCGGCCTTGGAGGTATAGAACCCGCTGCTGCAGGATATATAACGTTGCTGACACGGCCCCAGNAGGCTGGTTTCTCCCCTCTGATTCAGGTCTTCCTGTCACGCTTTTACGCGAGGGAAAAGTTGGGTACTCGCGTTGCTGTCTGGCTGGCAATGGCTCCACTGGNNGGTAAGGCAATCCTCCACTTGTAGCACAGAGTTTGACTGACACCGTGTAGTGGTTTTGTCAACGGCATTGTCGCATATGGCGTTTCATTCATTCACGTCAAGCTCGAATCATGGCGCATCCTCTTCATGATCGAGGGTGGTGCCACAGTAGCGATAGCGATCATCGCGATCATTGTGCTGCCAGATGATATCGCATCTTGCAAGTGGTTCACGGCTGAAGAAAAAGACTACTGTGAGCATAATTGAAGAGACGGTTCAAAGGGCTTACAACTGACACATAGCANNGTGATGTACGAGCGCTTCATGAGCATGGGTCCAGAAGTCAAGGAGATCAACTGGAAGCAGGCACGCGGTGCATTGTACCGTTGGCCGCAGGTCATGCGTGAGTGGCTCAGTTGTGCAATTCCTATCAATCCTGACACTGACACAACCACAGCTATGCTCATCAACATGTGTCAGCAGATTACAGGAGCTGCTCTGAGTGCCTATCTTCCTACACTCCTCAGCGAGAACGGATTCAAAGGCGCCACAGCACAAATTGCCACACTGGCACCTTATGGGTCCGCCGCCGTTGTATGTCTTACTGAGTTCTCGAACCATCTCACACCCCGCAAGCAGATAACTGACCGAGAAATAGNNTGCATGATCATAGCAGCAAAGCTTTCTGACAGATTCGGCAGCCGTGGCTGGCCTACCCAATTTGGTTGGCTGCTCCTAATCGTGGGCTTTGCAACTTTTCTTGGTGCTCCCACCAGCAACAAGCCTGCTCACTTTGCGGCTTTGATTCTTGCCGAGACCGGTCACTACAGTACGTGTCCATCAACTTGCATGTAGAATTATTCTCTAACCGTCACCCCAGTCTGCACTCCACTGATCGTTACTTGGTCCGCCAACAACGCCGGCAGCGAGTCTCGACGTGCCGTCGCCGTGCCTCTTGCTGTCGCTCTTGCCCAGGCTGTCGCGTAAGTGGTTTGCTTTCCCACCAGAAGATCAAAGCTAATAATCAACTAGTNNATCGGCTCTGGTTACCTCTTCCCTGCTTCAGAAGGACCCCGATACACGCGGGGAGCGACTGTCGAAGTTACGCTCTCTGTTGCTGGAATGATTTTCACATTCGTATACATGGGCTTGATCAGGTGGGAGAACTCTCGTCGTGACAGAAGGGAGGGAGGACCGCCAGCGCCTGGAACTCGTCCAGATACTGCGCAGTACGCAGACGAGGCCGAAGGATTCCGATACATTGGGTAGTCGGCAAGTTACGATTCACTGTCCACACATTCTCATTGTAGCACTAGTGTGGTATATCTCACACAACTACGTATATTAGTACATTGCAATCGACTATGAACAACAGCATATGCGTCGATTCTACCGACTTTGAAATTGATACTTCGCGAGCGCTTTTTCTATCCTAGTAGTCGATCGATACATAGTAGGCTATCTCCTCTCAACCACTTGCCACTGTTGTTGCTGGTCACCGATATGCAGCTGTGTGGAACTTCTATGATTGAGATAGCACCGGCTCAAGATCCATCAGAGTTCTAAGCTTCCCGTACAGCAAACTTGTATGGCATATATTCAGAAGGTACACATATTCAGAAGGTATGCTGTCTTGGATCGATCTTCGCTTTCTGCAAATGTTCGCCATGGATGGGCACCAGGAAGGTCAGAATAGTTCTTCTACGTTCCGGGCGTCATCTACAGTAATCGAAAAGAATTTCCATCGTGTCTTAATCAGAATCATGCAGCACTATGAGCCCGCTCAAGAATGATGTTGTAAAATTTTCTTTGTGAAATACTGAACTTTGCATACCCGCTACTGTGCCGTCTTGCCATTCGTGCGAGACCCTTGTACTCGTCCGTCGATTTCTGCGTAAGCCTTTCCAATCTTGTTCATGCCAGCTTGCAAGATTGATCCGTCACCACCGCTGAGCGACCATGTCGCACCGAGCTGGAAGAAACGCTCTAGCAAGTCAAGCCGTCCTCCAATTCCTCCAATACCGATAGGCTTACCCGCCTTGACGCCAGCAGCAATGATTTTCTCCACCGACTGTATATAGAGCGGATTATCGTATTGACCTGGAATGCCGAGATCTGTGCAGAGATCGTTGGAGCCAACCAGGATACCGTCCACGCCATCGATGGCGAAGAACTCGTCTGCAAGCTCGACCGCGCCAGGCGTCTCTATCATGGGGATCACCATGGTCTCACGATTGAGTAGATCGTTCTGCACCAGTGTAGGTACTGTCTGAAAGTTGAGAATTGGTTGATTGTTGGCGCATCCACGAATGCCAAGCGGGGCATATTTGGCATCACGGACAATGTCCTTGACATGCTGGACAGTTTCGCAGTGAGGGATGACAACAGCAGCTGCACCAGCGTCCAGGATCCGGCTGAGTTGCCAATGTGATTTAGACGGGATGCGAACAATGGGGCTGACGCCGACGTAGTTGCATGCGAGAATGAGTTGCGATACGTCTCGGATCGTCAGAACGGAATGCTCCATATCAATGAACATGCCGTCGATTCCAGCCATCTTGACCATCATGGCGACCTCGTTGCTGACGAAGAACTTGCAAGACATGACTGAGCAAACTTCGCCTCTCAGGATCCTGTCTCGCCACGGATTCGAGACCGTGAAACTTGCTCCATTGGTCAACATGCTGGATGGTCGAGCGGGCTGAGCGGTTGGAGATGAATATAGTTGAATGTGGTCAAGGCGTTCGTGTTTTATGGCATAAGCTGAGTGACGAACTGATGCAGAGGAGCGATGAGCACGCGATAATATCGGAAGCAGCGATATTCTTATAGAACCAATTCCTTGAAGATGCCTCAAGCCGATCCCGCTTGCGTTGACAAAACAATAAGGCTATTCTGCCATATCGGAAACTGTTCGGCTGTTGATCACATCTCGGGGTCCTCCAGGCTCTTACTCCGCGCGATCGGAAGGTCACCGACAGCCCCACACTGGAGTCCGCAAGTCTTCGGTATTCGACCGGACTGTACTATAGTCTTTACGGACCTCATCCGAAGCTATTCGGGTAATGAAATACTTGGTCTTACACATGGTGGAGTAACAGCTTACACTCGCTGGACCCAACAAAACCTCTACGACTACTGCTCCAAAAATCCACTTCACAGTCTTCTACTTCAGACTTATCATCGTCCAATGTGATCTGCAGGTTTTGTACAAGACAGGCACCGCGTAAGCTCGAGGACGGATGCGACCTTGATCACTGAATTAGAAGGACAGGCCCTGTGAGTATCACTCTGCAATGAGAATAGAAGCGAGTCCTTCCAATAACTCAGACTTTTCCGAAGTTATCTATCGTAAATAGTCGCCATTCTCCAAGAACATGAGCAGTGTAGCTCGTTTCATGACCAGTCGCCGTCGAGTACTGTTGGCTCGCCCTTAGCATGTGCTTCTAACAGATTGTCTATGGTCCATGGTATGTAAACCATTCCTGGCGGAACATTTGTGTTCTTGAATGAGGTGCCGTTTTCCAACTGCGTAGCAGCTTTGCGATAATTTTCTAGAGCGTACTGTGCTGGATCATGACGCAAAATCCATCGACCGACCTAGGAATGCTTCCTTTTAGATGCGATCTTTGAATCCTGTCTACCTCCATTGGATGCTTTGCCTTGAGCTTTCTCACGATTGACCACACCAAACGCTTGTAGGCATAAGACACGCTCAAACCAAAGAAGATTGTGTATTCTCATGGCAATTGAAATGGACCGGCTATCACCTGCCACCGCAATGTAAGTGGCAAGTGAGATGGCGTCTTCCATTGCTTGTGTTCCACCGTTGCCAGAATTGGGCAANAAGGCGTGCGCGGCATCACCGAGTTGGATCACACGTCTAGCAGGTGAAGTCTAGTTTGGTTGAGGATCAGGCCATATGAGTTTCCAGTCAATGATCGTGCCCGGCGGAGTTGTTTTGATCACCCTGTCCGCTATCTGGGGCCATTCAGGGATGGTGGCGGTATATTGTAAGACGTCTGAGGAGGTGACTTGCGAAGACTAGGACTCTTGTGACTCGCCATCATCCTGATAGTTGTTAGCGAGAACAGTCATGCACCTCGTCAAAGGCATAAGAGTACTTACGGGATGTGACAAAGACCAGCTCATCTCGTGTTGATTTCTCTAGAAAGCTGCTTGCACCCCGTCTCCACGCCACAGCTCAACTGTCGATCTACCGTCTGCTAGCAGTCGGAAGTGATTAGCGATTTCTGAATCAGCAAGTGCTAGCTCGACAGGATAAGCCACTCGGAAGAGAGCGTCACCACTGCTGCGAGCAGGCACTTCNTTTCCAGCTATTAATGGCCATGACTTGCTTCGGAGACCATCTGCTGCCACAACAAGGTCACCTGAGACCTGAGAGCCGTTCCGAAGAACCACTCCTGCACGACTGTCATCGGCTGCCTCGAAATACTCATAGACTTCGCAGTCATACTCGATCTCAACACCAATCTGGCGCAGCTGCTCGAGTAGCATAGAGTGAAACCTTGGTCTAGAATGACGATAGACTCTGTCGGCATCCTCAGAGTAAAGCATCTTGGAAAAGTCCTTAGGGCCGGCGAATCGTTCCCCATTGATGTGATAAAACGAGACAAGAGGGTCGTAAGCAATCTTGGCATTCCTTGCTCTTGGGAACGGCCAGTTCTTGAAGCCACTGATAGCTGATGGCCCGATGCTGAAAGAGTCACCTGTGTGGATGTCAGCTNNATTGAATAATCAGCCTTCAAATAGTCGCATACCAGATGTTATATTCTGTCTGAATCTCTCAAGAACACGAACCGAGCAGCCGATGCGCTAACATTCGAGAGCGGTCATCAAACCACCAACACCTCCTCCTACAACCACGACCGATATTCCATTGCTCGGAGCGCGTTTCACAGGAGCATGATTCATGCTTGCGAAACCTCGTCGGTGGTTGCGTCGAATTAAGCATGACGGTGAGTATGAGCAAAGGGATCTGCCGGATGCATTGTTAGAGATCTGTCTTGCCGGTGATAAGATCTAAGACGTCTGCATTATTCCCAGCATGATTTCGCGCTGGAGGTCAGTGGTGGCTGTCCATGAAAGATATATGTCGCAAATCTCGGAGTTTGATTTGGTGGTAGCCCATCTCCGAATTTCTGGGAATCTGGGGTCGACAGCAGCACCGCCGGATTGACCGTGGTCCTAAAGCCTATCTCTCGTATAGCACACTCTAGACTGATTTGCAGTATCATTGTTGGTATAGATATCGCTGTTGTCATTAGCTCCTCAGTGTTCGATGTTTTGCGACAGATGGTCGCAAACATCGTGTGTCGGCATTACTGCCCATTTCTTGAACTCGTCACTTCTCTTGCTCGCCAGGCACTCGTAGGATCTACCAAGATGATTTGACACCTTGCAAAATCTTGGTAGAGCTTGAAACAAAGCAGACAGCAGTATCTTGCAACACCGGGACACGAGAGGAAAATGAAGTTTCCGAAGCTCGGAAGATATTGTACGTAGGCTAGCCTGATCAGGATTTTGGCTTGTATTCTTCGTTAAACACAGCCGCTTGAGGACTGTAAATTCCTATAGAACCTCGAGCTGAATACCGTTCGCGTCTCAATAATGTCCTCAGACGAGCTGAGAGTGTTTGGAGAGCTGAAAACCGTTTCAAGCTGAAGACCGTTATGGGCTAGAGCCGAAGGATTTGAGCCGCACTGCTGATTGACATTGACAGACCCTTCGCCCTGCAGGGATTGTGCAGCGTCCCAGTGTCAGCATTGGTCGGGACGTTAGAAGAGATTGCGATACTGGTTGGAGGTGCAGTAAATAACAGCCCCAAAACATTAGATTTAGTGGCTGGCCAGCGATTCAACATAAGCGTTTGACCCCTAAGGATCTGAATCAAATGCATCGGTCTCGGATTTGACCGAGAAAACGTAACTTTAGCATAACGGTTAGAAAGCAGCTTGAGTGTCCTAAGGAAAAAGGTCGACGGTGGGATCTGAATCTAAATCATCACAAGGTCTATAATGATCATAAATACCGCCTGCTCCATCATAGATGGAGTCATCACACCTGTCCGATCTAAGTCTCCAACACGATGCGTACCTCTTTGGGTCTTGCTCTTGTCTCGTTATTGACAGCGCCAACAGTGTCAGCATACAACGAAACAGTGAAGACCATCACAATTACATCCTGGTCAACTATCGATCTATGCCCTTAGTCCAGCTCGAGTTCTTACGTATCTGTGCCCGATCCTTCAATTTCCTCTACCAGGTCGAGCTCCACTTTGAGCTCAAACACAGTGTCGAGCACCTCTTCTCGCACTACCAGTCCTTCGATCGCTATCACAAGCTCAAGCTCAAGCTCAAGGACAAACTCGAGCACTACTCTGCCCGTCAGCAATTCTTCAATGCCGATCACAACTTCCTCCGCGCCCTTGCCAGTTTCGACGGACGGCTGCTCTTTCGATGATCCAGCGCTCAGTGTGTTCACTGATGATTCTTATGTGTCTGAGGCAAATGCTTTCTGCAGCTCTTATCTTGAGATTCCAGCTATCACAGAGACTGCTTATTCGACTTCTACTGCCTACAGAGTGACCAATGTCACAGCGTAAGAGAGCAAACCCGGTCCGATCTGATGGTTCGATACTAAAGCAAGTTGCAGAACCTTGACGTTGTCGTCTACGATCACAGAACAGCTTCCTGACGCAACTATCACTGAGGTGTCGTAAGTACTATACCCACGCATCAAAGCATGGTCAAGCATTTGCTGACACACGCTGTAGGACAGAGCTTGACGTGGAGACTGTCACCGCAACAACAACCTCATACGTGGACACTAATTTCAATTTTGTACCGCGTGACGCTGCCCCAGAATCGCCGGCAGTCACAGCTATTCCGTTCGCATCTCGTGTTGCAACGATCTCCGCCCCTCTCATATCGGCCGGCTGTTCCTGCATCCAGAGCAGAATTCCGATATCGACAACGACTAGTACTCTAGCACAACAACTCACACTCTCTGGACCCAACATCACTGCGACTTCGACTGTCCAAGAGCTTTATACCGTTCAAACACAAAGTACGACTTTGGAAACGTCCGTCATCACCACCACCTCGACGACTACCTCTCTTGTGTTCCAGACATGTACCCCAGATGGAGGGACTTGCGATTTCAGCCGCCCCGACCTTTGCTGTAGTGGAGCGTGCGCTTCTGCTCGTTATGCCCAGTGCGACGGCATCAATGATTGTTGTGTTTCGTTGTTTGAATAGTCATTATCCAACAATTCCATGATTGCTTCTGGATGGACCCGGTGGAAGACGCTCAAGGAGGAACGGCTCTACTCTCATTCGTCGATCAAAAAGCCTGATGGCTCCATAACCGCGAGTGTCTCTAACGGTGATGGTCCTTGAAGGGAAATTGCTGGAGAAGGTGATAGCCTCATTGACCGATGTAGTACATTTTAAGTGTGTCACAAACGTGTGATCGAAGCAGTACACGTTTGAATCAATCTATCCTCTGTCCCATCATGTTCTATATTCTTCAATGACACTCCTCGGTTTGACGTATTCTCCCAGAGCTTTGTACTCAAGATCGTATCCAAATGCACCTGGCCCACCAATCTTGATACCTTCAGGTGTATCGGTCCAGAGTGGCGAACAGGTGATGCCGATGACGGTAACGTAGTATCCATACTTGAACTCAGGCACGCCCAAAGCACATCCAGAGCCAGAGTCTAGAACGGCAATGAGATCTGGAACAAGTGCAAGATACTCTTTCTCTCCCGACTCCGATGTGTATTCGGCATAAATGTTCTCGTTCTTGAAGGGGATCTTCAGAGTACCACCAACTCTCATGGCAGACATCCGATCAGCGTTAGCGGCGCTCTCTTCATCTTCTTCTGTTCCGCTGATTGTAATCGAGCCATGAGAATGGCCCTTGTATACTCGACGTTCAACTTGGGTGATTTTGCCACGGAACAAGATGCGGGCACTCTTAGTCCCGCCAGCCTCGTTCACTATCGCTTCTGCAACAGTAGACATTGTGTTGTTGGCCTCTGCCAAAGAGATACACCTGCCAATGCGCCAAGCCAGCGACATTGTATTCAAAACACCAGAGGATCGTACTTTGTCAGTTGTCGTTGGCTTTGCTGCCATACCTACGCGCGAACCCATCTCGGCACATGAGGCACGCAAGGCTCGATCCACGATCTCGTCATTCGGGGCCTTTGTCATCAGAATCGTCTTTCCGTCGCCAGAGTCGATGACACATGGTACGAGTTCACCTGGATAGTGGACAGCCAAAGTGGTCTGCCAGTAAGTGGGGTAGGCACGACCCATGAAATCGGCGTCGATGACGGGACAATCGAAGAAACGGGACGATCCCACAAGCAAAGGCTCCATGCCGTTGGCACCACCTATCTCAAGACCCATAACTGCGTCCAGCTTGTCGTGGTGTAGATAGTCCATGAGCTCATTGAAAGCACCGACTGTTTCCAGAGATTGAAGGCGCTCGACCGAAACTGCTGGAGAGCCCATATGACCTCCCCAGTAGATCAATGCATCTTCTGGGAGTGCAGAANNAACGTCTATAACGCGCATCTTGTGCCCCTGACGCAGCATCTCGCGAAGTTGCAGACGCGAGGCTCCCGTCGATCCACCTCCCGCGCAGCCCAAGACATAACAACCTATGAGAGTATCAGATCGTGATCAGCTGTCAACGACATGGGCGAGCCTTACCTTTNNGGATATAAAGTCAATGTCTGTCTCAGACAGCAGCCACTCCGCATTGCCAGTCACCTCGTTCTCCATTATCGTGGGGATGTAGTTCTTCGGATCAACTTGCGGCACTTGAACAGTTTTATAAGCAACCTGTTTGGTGCCTTCTTCTGCATACTCAGAGTCAAAGCCGTCATAGTCCTCCTCCAAGTTGGTGTGCGACTGTGCCTTGATGTCGAGCTCGCCAACGGCCTTCACTATCGTTCTCAGTTGATTGGCGACATATGAGACTGGCAAGCTCTCAACCTCTGCGATCATGATGCTGTCCTCGAGAGCACCAGCATCGATCGCACGTTGTATCGCAATCTGCTTGGCTTTTTGTTCGGCTTGCTCAAAGGTCTGACCTGACACATCTTGAATCGTGTCGACAACGCCTCCAACCTTGGATATTGCTGCACCGACAGCATTTGCAACGTCATGGAATGGGGGCAGTGTGAGCTCGGAAGCACCCGAAAGGGCAGTTGGGGCAATGACTGCACCACCTCCTACCAACAGAACAGGCATCGGGTCAGGCGAGGTCTTTATCACATCGATGGCCCTCTCTAGTAGGGCTTTGATACTGTATTGTGCATCCGCGACCTCCTTGGCATCCAAGTTCTTGACAAGCGTGCTATCGCCCATCTTGGCCTTGCCTGCAGCGACGGCAATGTCAGATGTTGTCAAGATGTCGCCTCCGAAAACCAAGGCATCTCGTGTGAGATAGTGTCCGACTGAATCAGGACCAACGATGATCTTGTCATCAGCATGTTTTCGCACCATGGTACCTCCACCGAGACCTATGCTGTGCAAATGTGGCATCGCGTAGTTCATTCGTACTCCAGCAACAGTAACATATGCGGCAGCTTGTCGAGGTAGACCAGAAGGCAGCAAGACTCCGACGTCACTTGTCGTTCCACCAATGTCTATGACAATGGCCGAGGACTTTCGGGTATCGTGAGCAGCCAGGTAAGCAGCACCACGCATCGAGTTTGTCATGCCTGATGCAAATGTGCGAATTGGGAATTTGGCAGCGGATGCGGAGTCGAGCAGTGTGCCATCATTCTGGGTGAGAAATAGCCGGCAGCTCAACTTCAATGATATCATCGCACGACGGAATCCGCTCACTGTCCGTTTGGCGTAATCCAGGATAGCTGCGTTCAAAATGCTGGCATTCTCCCGCTCAAGGAAGCCGATGTTTGCAACCTCGTGCGAGCATACAACCTCAACACCGGGCAGCTCTCTGAGCACGATCTTCCTGACTTGCTCCTCTTGCTGGAAGATCTCATCGATAGGGGAGAAGACTCCAGCAATTACCACAGACGACAAACCCAGAGCTTTGATCTCAGCACATCTCTCGATAACCTGAGATTCTATGATCGGAGACTCTTGAGAGCCGTCAATGTGAAGGCCGCCATCAACATAGCCTACGTATCCATTGATGATAGCTGCCAGTCCAGGTGGGAAGTCCGAGAAAGGAGGAACCTCGCGAAGGAAGCTCTTGGAAAGGCGAATGACGGCCACTTTGTTCAATCGACGCGCATCATGTTCGATCGCTGCATTGATGAAGTGGGTAGTGCCAACAGTTACACTAACGATGTCCGACGTTGAGAGCTCCGAGGTTTGGAGTATCGTACCTATAGCGGTCTCAATGCCTTTGGTGACATCGGTCGTTGTTGGTGTTTTGAAGTGTGCAAGAAGACCTCGACTCTCGGTGTGTTGCTGTGATGTATCGATGGCGACGGCATCAGTGTTGGTGCCACCCACATCTACACCAATGCGAATGCTTTTGCCTCTTGTTTGAGAGCCCATGTTGTGTCTGAACTACCAAAGGTCGAGCTCAAGCTGGTCGAAGTGGAAAGTCAGGACGGTCTTCTTGATCTCGAAGATATATCAGTCCGACAATCTTGTGCTTCTCGTACCGACAGCAATGCAGGACTCAGCCCCAATTCTCGTCCGGCGGGGCAATAGTATGTTGGGGTTACTGATAAGACAATCAACTCGGTGAGCCTTCGCCGAAGCCAGTATCAGCGGATCAAACGAATTGGTCGCGGCCGCTGCAGCAGGAGCGGGGTTGTCAGAGAGAGATAGGCAACGGATTTGCAGGTCGTCGCTGAAAGTGCCGCAAACAGCTTGGCCGACGGCGGAATTTGCAGCAGACCCCACATTGTTAGACTCCATTGAGTAGCAGCGACCGCGATAACATGTCTTGATGAATTGCCTCAATAATGCTTGTTCACACGAACGACCTTGCACCCGACTTCACGAACTCACAAACCTTAAGCGCAAAAAGCGATAAGCTGGCGACTTCACCAATTACATCGCCTTCTTCCCTGCCAGGCGAACAGCCATGCACTGCCCCGCCGGGATCCCTTATCACCCCTCCACTCTTCTTGTGAAGGTCAAATACCTCCGGCTGCTGATATAGTAAGTAAGGGAGCATTCTTCTTACGAAATCAGGAGTCATCGCCATGGCACTCAAAACTCTCTCAAGGCATCTGAAGGTGCCAGAGCACGAGGACCACATCTCCAATGTGTGGATCAACGACGACATCCGCCCCTTACCTCCGCATAGACGTACTTGGACTCGATGGGCGTAAGTTCCTTTCGTACGACGTCTGCTCTCATGAGATTGACCGAGAGTATTAGCTNTCATCTCATTCTGGGCAATCAATCAAATTGCTCTTTCCAATTGGCAGCTCGGTGGTTCTCTCGTAGCTACCGGCATCTCTGTTTGGCAAGCGATCGTTGCCATCATCATCGGCAAGATCATAATTGCTATGGTAGCGATTGCCAATGGTTACGTTGGCGCTACCTGGCATATCGGCTTCTGTGTTGTGTCCCGATATGTCTGGGGCGTCAAAGGACAATACGTAGCGTTAATACAGCGCATCGTCCTTAGTCTGGTCTGGTTCGCCGTGCAGTCATGGACCGGCGGACTCTGTGTTCAAAACGTACTCGCTGCCATTTTCCCAAGTTTCCAGCACATGAAGAACCACTTCCCGGCCAGCGCGAATCTGGATACGAAACAGTTCATCGGTTGGGTGCTGTTCAACGTCATCATGGCACCCATCATATACATCAGGCCCGAAGGCATGAAACATATCGTTTTGTGGATGACTATTGTTTCGGGCATCACGTTGTTATGTATGACAATCTGGGCGTTGTCTGCAGCGCACGGTGCTGGTCNNCCCCTGCTCAATCAGGCAGCATCCACGAAAACCAGCGAGGAGCTGGGCTGGAATATCACGCTGAGCGTCACAACTGTCATTGGCAATATCGCCGCTGGTCTTGTCAATCAGATGGACTACTCTCGCTTCGCACGACGTCCTGGCGACCAAGTGTTTGGTCAATGGATCTCGATCATGGGTCTCGGCATCATCATGCCTCTTTTCGGATGCCTGACATCCTCAGCTACGCAAAAGATATATGGAGAAGCGCTTTGGTAAGTTGGAGCATATGCTGATAAGACCGTGCTCTGATCATTACACAGGAACCCACCGGACATTGTCCAGAAATGGTTGGATACTGACTACAATGCCAAATCGCGCGCAGCCGCCTTCTTCGCTGGCTGCGGCTTGGTCACGTCGCAACTGGCAATCAACACCATTGACAATGCCTTCTCGGCTGGTATGGATATAGCTGGACTCTTCCCCAGCTATATCAACATCAGACGTGGGGCATATATCGGCCTTATCATCAGTATTGCCCTATGCCCTTGGCAACTGCTTGCATCCGCATCAACTTTCATCAGCGTTCTTTCTGCTTACAGTGTGTTCCTCGGACCCATGACCGGAGTCATGATCTGCGACTACTGGGTGGTAAGAGGAAGAAAGCTAAAGCTCTCGGATCTCTACCACGGTGAAGAGGATGGCATCTTCTTTNTCTGGAACGGTGTCAACTGGCGAAGCTTTGCAGCCTGGATTTGCGGTTGGAGCTATCTTATTCCTGGGCTGCTTCATGCAGTCAATCCTGGCATTAGTGTTCCAACCGCTTGCACAAGACTCTACTACCTTGCTTTCCCGCTAGGCTTTGTGGTCAGCTTTTCTATCTACTACGGCCTGAATCTCGTTTGCCCTCCTCAAGGCTTGGGAGTCATCGACGAGGTTGACGAGTTTGAGACCTTCACGGTGGACGAAGCACAAAAGCTAGGCATCCTCCCTCCAGTCATTCATGGTGACATGCAACAAATCGACTATGGGCTGCGCCTCGAGGCTGAACTACAGAGACCAGATGACAAGACTACTGTGGTTTGCAAGTGAGATAAAGACATGCTTTGCGCAGAGACACATAACTCCAGTAACAAGAAAGACCTCTCGAGTTCTTCTCGACCTTTACTTTAGCAAATAATGATTCTATGATTTTACATGATGAGCTCTTCAAGCTTCCTGTTGGCTTCCGCAACCATATCGTCAATGTCTACCCTCCAGATCTTATGATTCCGCCACAAGATTTGCTCTTTGATTCTCGCTGGATCACGTTTGCACAGGCGATCTCTCCACTCATACAATTCCACGCTCTCTCGACTGCTTTGCACCAACCATTGTGTCCGCTCGCGTCTCACTGCATCGAACACCTCCAAGGCTTTTTCCAAGGCCTCTGGTTTCGTAACCCGGGCAGATCCTTCTTCAAGCGTATTCCATGCCAGATCAAGTAGTTCAGCCAAGATTGCGCTGTCTTCGATGCAAATGCCCGCTCCAGCTCCATGGTGAGGTCCTGTCGCATGGGCAGCATCACCGATAATGCCCACTCGTCCTTTAGCATATGTCGAGACTGGATGATCGCCCAGATCAAAGATGGCCCATTTGTCAAGCTTGTCTTCCAGAAGGTCGACAAGTGCCCTGACCTTACCACCCCAGTCCTTGTAGTCTCGTCTAGCATCCTCTCTGGTGGTCGGCACTACGAGTCTCGTGTCTGTCCAATCATCCGGATCGTATTTGAAAGCAACCACGTTCAAGATCTTGCCGTGTGCTACGGGGAAAGTCAAGACATGACCATCCTGACCCATGTGCATTGTCCTGTTAGTCGCCAAGTCTTTCCCCAGTGCTTTGATAGCATTTTCCATCTTCAGCAAGCCTCGGTATGCATATCGATGTGTGTAGGTAGGCTTGGCTTCAGAAGCATCTTTTCCAAATAGCATTCCACGAACGCTTGACTTGATCCCATCGCTACCGATGACTACCGTTTGTTAGCGAGTTGCTGATTTGATACCTTTGGCATAGAATGTCTTACCTATATCAGCCTCCGCACTTGTTCCGTCTGAGAAATTCAACGTGAGAGGGCTGGATCGCCCATAGTCAGTGATCTCGTCGAGATGCTTGTTGAAATGTGCAATTCCATCAGGGACCAGCTTGATCATCTCTTCCAGGAAATGCGCCCGGTGACAGCCATCAGCCGGTGCATCTCGAGTAACATCAAAAAGCCACTGGTCGGTGTCCTTGTCGCTGTACCCATCGACGAAGTCATACCACGTGTTGATTTTCTCAGGCGAACCGCTTGATGTTGCGACACGGAGGTAGGCTTCATGGACAGCCGGGTCACACTTNTTCATCGCTTGCTTTGCGTTAGGAGAGAAGGCGATTCCAGCGCCAATCTCAGTGAATTGTGGTGCTTGCTCATAGATTCGGACATCGATGCCTCGCTTAGCAAGAGCGATGGTCAGTGTCATACCAGCGACACCTCCCCCAACAATTGCGACTGAGAACTGAGAGTTTCTCGTTGCCATTTTGCTCAAGAATCGATCAACAAGACCAAGATGTTTATGCGCCTAATCGATTTCGTGATGCCAGGGTCGAAGTGACTGAAGTGATTGATGAAGTACCGCAGACTCAGAAACAACGCACTCTAAAAGTCGTCTTGAACAGGAAAAGGCTATCCTCGCCTGGCTTCTGTCTCTTAGCCTGTATTCATTCGGTTGTTAGAAAACGGCAGTCACAAAGCTCTGGAAAGAGAAGAGTGGGGTCATGACAATTGGCCCCGCGAATGTGGATCTGGCGGGACATGCGGAGTCGAATCTCGTCATGATGGACAGCAGCGATCTGCAGATCAGGACTGTACTAACACGGGTGCCAGGCTCGGCACTGAGTCGGATACACGCGCAATCTTTCCTTTGGTCGCAAGCCCTCTGTTCTTCGCATAGTCTTTCTCCAAATTCATCTTTACTATGCCGCAGAATGCTCGTGCGCTCATCGTAAGAGAGCTGGGAGGGCCTTTCACCTTCGAGAATGTCATTGTTGACGATATACGGTCTGATGAAGCTCTCGTCAAGATTGAAGCCTCAGGTATCTGTCGCACAGATTTACACTGTGCAGCTGGTCATCGTCCAGTGCAAACTCCTGCTGTCTTTGGGCACGAAGGTGTGTCAATCTAGTGTGCATCACAAGAATGTGTCTGACATATANCAGGTGCGGGCACTGTGCTAGAAGTAGGCGAAAACGTGACAGGGATCCAGCCCAGCGACAAAGTCTTGCTCAGTTACTCTATCTGTCGAACCTGCAAACAATGTTGTTCTGGAAATCGAGCGTACTGCGAAAAGATACTCGCGCTCAACTTTAGTGGCAAACGACAAGATGGCTCCAGTCCTTTGACTCTACCAGATGGAAAAGCTCTATTCAGCAACTTCTTCGGTCAAAGCTCATTCTCTAGCCTGGCAATCGTCAATGGATCCAGTCTAGTCAAGGTTCCTTCAGACACTCCTTTGGACCTTTTTGCAACGCTGGGCTGCAGCATGGAGACTGGAGTGGGCGCAATCTTCAACACGCTTGATGTACAGCCAGGGTCGACCGTAGCAGTCTTTGGTGTAGGCTCTCTTGGACTATATGCGATCATGGCATGCAAGCTTCGACAAGCAAGAGAGATTATCGCGGTCGACATCCAGCCATCACGTCTTGAGCTTGCGAAAGAGCTAGGAGCGACCGCCACTATCAACAGTTCAGAAGGAGACGTGGCAGAGCAGATTCGGGAGTTGTGCGGCACGAATGGCGTTGAGAAAGCGCTTGATTGCTCCGGGGTTGCAAAGATTATCGAAACAATGATTGACTCTCTGGGAACCCGAGGGAAAGCTTGCTCTGTAGGCTCTAACGCAGATACACACATTAGCATAGATGTGCATAAGCATTTCGTCAAGGGCACGCAATATGTCGGCAGTCATCAGGGCGATTCGGATCCTCAGAAGGTGAATCTCAGCAACCATACTGTCAGATACACGCTAATTGCTTTCTAGATGGCTCCATTGCTTCTGAAGGAGCACTCGCTCGGAAGACTACCTCTGCACAAGGTTACGACCTTTTACAAAGTAAATGAGTTTCAGCGTGCACTCGACGACGTCGAATCGGGCAAGACTGTGAAAGCTGTTTTGACCTGGTGATGACAGTCACTGGTCACAAAGTCATGGAGTCAGTTATCGTTTTCGTCATCATATTGTTATATCGTAGATCCTTTTCTGCCTATTCTTGAAGCAGAATACCGACAAAAACCTCGTGTCAACCACAAGCTCAGATGCACAAACTGTTTTTAGTTACCACTGTCCTCGCCGTGCCAACTGATCTGCTTGGTGTTGTAGTATAGATCAAGACCCCACGAAGCATTCTGCGTGCCCCAACCACTCCCCNNCTTGACACCTCCTTGAGGTCCGGTTGCTGTGTATGAATCAGTAACAAGTTTTAAAACCGTACAAGTGCAGTACTTACGACTGATATAGACGGTGGATGAGTTAGTGTGCACCTGGCCATATTCAAGTTGTCTACCCATCTTGATTGCTCGCTCGAGGTTTCGGGTGTGTATCGCGGCATTCAGTCCATACGCACTGCGATTGGCGATTCTGATAGCTTCGGCATCGTCTTCGACAATGTAGACACTTGCGCTTGGTCCGAAAGTCTCCTCATCAACGATTCTGAGATGATCTGGAGATGTCTTGGGGTCAACAAGTACTAGTGTGTTTGCAATGGAGCAATTGTCCTGGAGCTGTCCGTCTCCACAAAGGAACTTTGCCCCTTTGTCTTTTGCATCTTTGAGAATGCTGGCAGCGTTTTGTGCAATAGACTCTGAGACTGCAGATTCAGCTGGCGTTTTCTGAACCTCTTCAACCAAAATCTTGATGAAATCATCTGCGACACTGCGTAGCACAATAATTCGTTCTGTGCTGAAGCAGATCTGACCATGGTTTCTGATGGCACCCTGAGCGCAAAGACGAGCGGCCTTTGCCAGATCTGCATCGTCCAACACTATTGCAGGGCACTTTCCACCCAACTCCAAGATCGTCGGTTTGAGGTATTTGGCGGCTGTTGCTGAGATGATCCGGCCCACAGCAGCGCTTCCTATGAACTCGACCTTGCGGATGTGTTCGTTCGCGATCAAACTCTCGGTCACCGCTGCTGCGTCCTGGCGTGAGGTTTGAAGACTGTTGAGGACACCAGGAGGGCAACCAGCTTCGCGGAAGATGTCGACGAGAATTGTATGAGTCAGTGGTGACATCTCGGAGCATTTGAGCACCACAGTGCAGCCAGTGACAATTGCAGAGCTGATAGCTCTTGTCGACAACACGATAGCCGCATTCCAGGGCGGAATGACGAGGACTGGTCCGATAGGTTCCTTGTAGACAAAAGTCATGGTGTCCGGCTTGTCAGTGGGAGGAATAGTTCCTTTGACACTGCTAACACACGCTGCGGATTCGTTGATATAGTTGGTCGCAGCAAGAACGTTGAATTTTGCCCATCCTTCAGTACACGCAGTCTCCTTCATCTGAGCTTGTACAAGCTCGTCCAGACGTTTCTTGTAGAGATCCGCAACCTTCAACAAGAGCCCCCGACGCTCTACTATTGTCGCATTTCTCCAAGTCCGGAAGGCGTTCCAAGCTGCATCACATGCACGACCACATATTTCTGTATCCGCGCTGGCATAGTAATGGACATTATCTCCAGAGACGGAATTCTTGACTGGGAGAATACGATCGGTGTCGAATGGCTGCTCAACGTTGTCGATTATGATAGGAACGACCTCGCGGCCTTGCGCATCTCGTTTCAGCTGCATGATAATGAACTTGGCGTTGGCGTCGAGTTTCGGACCAGCAAGATCAAGGAACTGATTGTCAGGAGCAGAATGGGAGCAAGTGTCAAATAGGCATGAACGTCAATGATGTAATGATGCACGTCCTCGGCAAAGCGTTATGTTTGACCGCCTAGTTTATGCCGGATAAATGTGGTTATGTGCTCTGGATCGCACAACTATCGACGGCCGTCGAATGAGAGGAGACAACTACGTTCAAAGCACTCTTTTCGGCGATTCGGCATGGAAACACTGGACAATTAACTGTATGCTCCGATATCACGGGAATGTGTCTCGGCATTTCCGTTCCGCCCCACTACCCCAGCTTTGCCAAATGGTCGGCTTGCGCTTACGGTTGATGCTGTCGTCACCCTCACCGCCCGGCAGACTCAGTTGAACCCATTGTTTGCATAGCCAGGCCAAGTCATTATATGCGAGTCCTGGCGAGATATGATGATAGATAGTAGAAGAACATCCCTGAAGATTATTAGGCCAAAAAGTGACTGCAACAGGATATTCTGTTTATCGTCGCTCTTCTGTTTGAAGCTGCTACAGAAACGTAAGACTGGCATCTAGATATCACAGCAACAATGAATCTTTTCAATTTTCAGCTCTACCTCAGCATCAGGGGGAAAATAGGCCAAACCGATGTTGTTGACCATATTTAAAGCACTTTGTTTAGCCGTAGAGCCTTCAAGAAGATCATAATTTGCTGTGGTTCTGCTGTTCCATGCTCATCGGCCTCGAAATTGCTTGTTAGCATAGACACCCTGTCCAATTGAAGAAGACTTGGCATTGCTGTTATGACGTTGAAGGGCGCGTCGCGACGCGTTCAAGGCGTTTCCGTTTTGTCTGAAGCATCGATCTTTTCTCCAAATCTGTCAGGCAACTGAGCATGAACATGACTTTGTCTGATCTATGAGTCTTTCCTCTAGTCTACAGATCCTGCTTGCGAGAGCAGAGCTCTTGTGCCTTCTACCAAAGCATAAAGCTCAACGTAATAAATATACGCCATGCCGACCAGACTCGCACCCACGAGCGCAAATCTCAACAACGACCATCGATCAGCTCTAGCTGCAACAAGAAAAACCACAGCCGCATCGAATTGCAGGACCGCCATCACCATAAGAACGCGACTGTCACGCCAGCTCTGATCCNNCCTGACTTTGAGGCTCAATGAGGTGGGCGAATACTCAAACAGCCATAGGATTGCAAGACAAACAAGATGAAAGCAGACCTGGAGAACAGTTTCAAAAGCTGGGTTTCTCTGGGGATTGATCTGGGAAGGTGTAGGCGAGATGGCGAGCGCAAAGCCAGCAATAACCAAAACACCGAACCAAGACCAGAGAGCAGCTTCCAGCCCGTCGCTAAACACAGCAAAGCAAGCAAGACAATGCGAAAGGCCAAAGAAGACAGGATTGGTGACTTTGCGACGAATGCGATCGGTCTCAGCGACAGTGAGTTGCTGTGAGCGCATCGGGTAGATTTTGCAGAANATCCAGCAGAGCAGATACGATACTGCGAAAGCTTTTGTCCAGTACGAGTCCTCAAGTCGCAAGATTTTGTATCCATGTAACATGCTGGGTATGTTCAGGGCCAGTCGCAAAGGTAGATAGCTTTGCGTGATCAAGATAATGATGCCACCGTGGACACCATGACTGTTGTACCACAAGAAGTGCACGACATCGACGACCCAGGCTGTCAGATCATAGAGACACTCAAATGGCGAGATTCGGTGCAAAGCCACCTCGCCATGGTAAGAGCCAGGATCAAGGACGGAGTTAGTTGCTAGAATCAGTAGCCGCAGGAATGTCGAAGCACCGACTAGTGCGACCTCATCTAGATCGACCATACAAGCGTACGGGAGCTAGCGCATCAATATGCTAAACAGAGTCGCGTGAAAGGAACGCGGTTCCGAGATATCAAATGATCTCGTTGTGCTTGAACAATTGCGCTTGCCGTAGCTGTTGACAGATCTCTCCCCGGGGAAAAGTCGGCAATCTTCGGCTGAGCGGGTATCATCGTGCTACAGATGCCTACCTACTTTTGGACAACCTGTTCCTACAGATATTCCTCTTGTCCAGAACTCGACTTGTCCACAACATAGCATATGAGATACTAAGGGACTAGTCACTTTCTAGTCAGGTTGTCGACTTTACATATTATGGCACGAATGCCCACCCGCACCAGCCCGAGATCCATCTCGACGTTGAAGGATTCACGGCCGAAACATGCACATCAATCCGCCAAGTTTTGCAATACCCGCTGCAATGGTATACCATCACGTCATCTTCTTATAGATCATCTCAAACGCTTGGCCGTCACGTAAAACAAGGTCGTGTGCTTGAGAAAGACAACCTTGGCAGCTGGGCATTGCCTCATACTACAGGCTAAATACACGATCTTCTTTCAATGTATATCAATCTTGGGTATCGCTGCTCAATTCGGCTTGTTCACTTTGACTCTACAGATTTGCTTCCAGTGCACGACAGAATTTGTGGTGAGAGATGATGTATTTCCAACACAATATCGTAGCAGCATGTTTAGCTTTTGGGTTGCTTCCTACGATGATTAATGCCCAAGGCAGCACATACAAGTCCGTCTCACGACCGAAGTCCTCCTCAAGGCAACACGACTGACTGATCTACAGCTCAAACATCACACTCCGCTTCTTCCCAGAAAGCCAAGTCGGGAAATGCGGCTACAGCAACTCCAGCGACGCTCTCACATTTACCACCGAGAGCATACCTCTCAAAGGAATAGGTCACTGCTTCGACCTCGTTGATATCTTCGAGGGCAACTCCTCGCAAGGCTTCGTGAATCAAACCGGAAACCTCGGTTATGGAAGTGGATACACCGGCGAGCCTGGCCAAGCAGGTATTCACTGGCAAGTGGAGAATATGGATAACTTCGACGCCCAGACGAACTACTCCAGCGTTCTGTATCACCAGCACAATCCTGACACCAACGACAAAGAGAACGCGCCAGGGACTTATGCTGCAAGGGCGCTGTTTTTGTATCCAGGGCAAGGTTGCGAAGATACTCCATCGCCGAGTAGTCAACCGCTTTCTTGGTACGGATTGAGTTGCTGGACAGAGCCGGAGGGCACTTGTGGCACTCTTCCATACAAGATCGCTAGTTTTAGCATACAGGCCACAGACGAGGGAGACGAGAAACATGGCAAGTGCTGGGCTTTTGCAGAGATGGGTGGCGCGGCTGGACTACATGTTAGCTTCCATGCCATGGTGTCTTTGATCGTTGGTACGCTCGTAGCAACGTGGATTGTTGTGTAGGCAGTGTACCTCATCATTGTTAGTAGTGAGACTGCAAGACAAATCATTTGGAGTTTCCATGCTTTCCCCATAGCATTGAGTTGGAGTCCTCACAGCTAATCATGCCATGGATTGACCATAGAATTGCCAGGTAGTTGCATAATTCGGTATGACAAGCACACTTGAAAGGGTGTAGAGAGTCCCAAGCTTAGGTAATCCTTGTGTAGCTGAGTTATGGAGTAACAAGTTGACAGACCTCATTTGTACACGAAACTTTGATGGATAATCCATGGATTTCCCATGACAAGCACCATTTCCTGATGATACGTACTTATATGAATATTGGAATTCAACGTGTTTCCATGGGACACATGAAGCTGGAGCAGGGTTATTCCATCTGGACTTGGAACTGACCCAAGAGTCAATGTCTTCTTCGCCTTGAGCATTAGTGATCAATCATCGTTTCCCTTTGTCTCGAGTCGTAGATATTACGAGCATCAAGTTCCCAACTCTGCTGCCTCGCCACCTTCTTCCTGCGAAACAAGATCCCAAACGTCAACACCGAGCCTGCCTTAGCCAGCAATGGTCTATCATCCGAGTGTTCCTCTGCGTGCACTTCGAGACCGTCGCGGGAGAGGTGTACGTTATGGTATCGAGGCAAATAACGACCAGGATGCCAGATATTCCAGATCGCCGAATTAAGCAGCATAGTCGAAGCCTCAAAGACGTAAAAGTACCATTCATAGCGAAGAAGTGGTGTAAGACGTTTCATAGCCTCAAGGTCATCGATAGCAAGTCTGACATTCCCGATGTGTTCGACCAGACGATAGATGCAGCGTACAAGAATTAGAAACATGCTAACAGATAAAACAACAAGTGGGGTTTTAATGTTTCTGCTGTGGATGCCAGATTTAACACAGTTGCGATAGAAGGTTCCAGCCAGAACGACGCACACAACGATCACAGCAAGCTGGAAGGCAAGCGATGCTTTGGTCAATTTGCTTCCTAGCTCTTGAGTGCTCGGCGAGGATGAAGGGTTAGAGGTAAACGCAACTCCCAGACCATTAAGAGCTTCGACGATAGCGACCAAAGCGCCAAACAACGACATGATGCGATGGGGCGGGAAAGGCGCGCAATACGGAACATAGTACAACACCCGGCCTAAAACATGGTAGTTGGCCAACTCGAGCAAAGGACTGCATTCCCAAAATCAGCGTGTATAGTTAGCACCAGAGACAGGTATACTAACGGGNCAGATGTATATCATGACCTGACTGACAATGAAGACATTGAGGTTTGTCGGTGAATATAGGTAATTGAAAGCGCCGTATTCTCGAAGTGCGTAGCCCGCTGTATAGAAGACTGCACACATCGGATGCAGTCCTATCATTCTCCATGCTTTATAGTGANNCTACTCTTCATCATTAGACATGTTGTGGCATCGTACTGTGTAGACACACAGGCATTGCCAGATATGACCAGCCGCCGAGATTCCATACAGCACTGCAAATATCGCAGGAGCAATCTTGTTGGGTGAGTATACATAAAGACTGTATAGAACTGCATCCTGTTAGTGACGAAGATTTGGATCGTGATGGATTTAAATCATACTCGGCTCTCCGCTCATGTTGGACAGGACGGTGATGTGGTATACCAAAGACGTAGGGTAACAATGTTCGAGTTGCACAGCAGGGCGATTGATCAAGTATGCACCTGATGCTACATACTGATTGCAAGGCATCCGTATTCTTGTGATTGGTGTGATCGAACGCGTGGCGGAGCCCGACAGAATGGTAGTCCAAGACTCAGCGCCCCTGCGCCCGAAATATACAGTAATTCCTTCGCACCACACGGCCGACATAGCCCTTATACATACTCGAACATCTAATCGCCCTTTGTTTTGAAGCTCTTCCACTGTATACCGAAGCTTGCAACACAAGCCGCCGCAGCCAGTCCTGCTCCAAGGTAGAACGTACTCGTCACTCCCTGATTGTACGCATTCAAAACTTCTGCAAGATTTTCCTTCGGCACAAGCTTCCTAAAGTCTGCAGGGGCTGCGTGCACGATAGCCGATAGATTCAAACCAACGATGTCGATAGATCTAAGGGAAGCACTGAAAACACCCGAGAAAATCGCTTGAGCGAGCGCTAGGAACAATGCCGCTCCAAAAGACTGGAAAAATTGCAGCAAAGCAGTTGCGACGGGGATGTCTTCGGCTTTCAGTACGGTCTGAATAGCTACGTATGGCATCCAGAGCGTAATTCCAGCGCCCATCCCAGGAAGGATTTGATAAGGTATCCAATATTGGCTGCCCGAAGACGTGCCGAGTGTGGACAACAGACCAGACCCAACAGCCAGTAAAGTCGTGCCAGCCAGAATGAAGGGATTTGTGAGACCTACATAAGGCAGGAGGATACCTACCATCAAGGCAGAAGCGACATCCGACATTGACAGTGGTAGGTACATGACGCCAGATCTGATGGGAGAGACACCTTTAACGATCTGAAACCACTGAGGGAGGTAGTATGTAGCCACATAGACAGTACCCATCGCAAANAGTTCAGTCAGACAAGCGAAGAAGACAACCCGTTGAGTGAATAGCTTCGGNGGTATCATGGCATCGTTGCCTTTGTGAATCTGCCAAAGAGCAAAGATGGCTGTGAGGACTGCGGCGCCAGCAAAGAGACCGATGATGGTGGCGCTTCTCCAAGCATACACCAGACCACCCCACTGGAGGGCAAGAAGCATCATGATCGTGGCTGGTGCGAATAGCAGGAGGCCCACGAAGTCCAGACTTGCCATTTTCTGTACAGAGCTATTTGTTCGTTCTGCTTTTGGCGGGTGGAAAAATAAGACCAAAAACAGAACAGTGACGGCGCCGATAGGAAGATTGATGTAGAAGCACCACCTCCAGGTAGCGCGTTGAGTCAGCACTCCACCGAGAAGTGGTCCTAGCATGATGCCGATGCCGAATGTCGATTGCAATGCGCTGAGATACGTCGTTCGTCTCGGAAGGCGAACAGAAACCGCGACAATCGAGAAAGCACCGGTTGTACAACCAGCAGCTCCGGCTCCAGCGATTGCTCTCCCGACAATCAATCCGATGGCGTTCGGAGCTGTGGCGCATACCAGCGACCCAATCTCAAATACTGCCATAAAGATGAGGAACATNTATCTGTAATGGTCAGACCTCTTTCAGAAAATGTCCATTACAAAGTCTACCTTGATAGACAATTTGGCGTACAGCTTGCCGGTGATTGGTTGCAATGCGCAGGTCGCAAGTGTGTATGCGCTTCCATACCAAGCAGTGTCGCCAGCAGATTTGAACTCCGCCGTCACGTACGGGATTGCTGTCGCAACTATTGCTGAGTCGAGCGATACCAGAAAGATGGCAAGCACCAGTCCAGATATTACCGTGACCAGGCTGAGGCCAGTCAACTCAAATTCCTGTGCGTCGTCCTCGACAGTAAGCGGCTCAATGTGTCGCGTCGATCTGTTGTCACCATGACTTGTGGCGCGCAAGTCTGGAGGAATCGTGATCTCTGTCATGTTTGACCTTCGGAGTGGAAACGAAGTGGACAGCGAAGGTTCATCTATATGACTCGCATCGACTCGAAGCTATGCTGGAGCGCCGAAAAGGAAATCTCGGTGTCAGGCTGTCGTGCGGGGTCCGGTGTGGAGCGAACGTGTCGGGGTAGCACTCGGCGAGGGACCCGAGCATCCGTTGAGGATAAGGGTTCGATGTTTCCAACATGTTCTCAACAATGGCTCACTCATGCTTCACCGCGTGCAAGAGCATCGAGCGCAGACACATCTGATCGAGCCCGTTTCGTAATCTGTTTTCTCGACTGCCGCGACCAAGCCAAGCTCTCCAGAGATCNGCCCGCAAACCTTGCATTGCAATACCAAGTGCTTCCGAAAAGTTGTGCTCGAATCCTCCAAAGACAGACGAAGCATTGCCTCCAGACGAGCCATGCTTACCAGCATTGAATGTTCTATCGGCGGTCGCAATTGGCCATTCGCGATCGTAGTAGACAGGATGCGGTGCATAAGTCGCTTTCAGACCGTAGTGCAAAGCGACGCTCGGTGCCCACATCTCAGTCCACATGGTGTGTTTCAGTTCGACCATCTCCTTGTGCATCAGATCGAGAAGCTGACGAGACATCCGCGATGCTGCGATGATGGCAATACGACGTGGAGGAATGGGAAGCTGTGTGTCGTATCCGGTCACATCTCGCTCGAACCACCATCCCGAGCCTTCAGGATCGAACAGAGGGCTCAATGTTATAAGATCAGCGTCCTCTCCCTCTCCTACATTGGAAGAAGTTGGTTCTGTTGGAGGATCGCGCACTGGGGAACCAGCGAAAGACACAGGACCCGATACAGTGGTGGGATTCTCTTTGTCCACAATGGCAGAGAATTCGGCCCAAGTCCCATGCAACTTCTGAAGATAATATTTGGCGCTGCGTTCCCAGATTCCGCGCCTTGGTTGAGTTTTNGACCATTTTCCTAGACGGTCGAAGAATTCATAGTAATGACCAGTATATCGTATATCCATCTCCCAATTCCAAAANTGGTCGTACTGCGTGTTAGTCTGTGCGAACCACTGGAGCGGCATGTGGGAGCTTCTGTAGACTCCATGGATAGGCTTTCCAGATCTGTTGAGAGTCTCGTTGCAGAATGGGCCGGGGTAGATAGATTCCATTTGTTTTTCAGACCACAAGGTGACCAGACCATGGAACTCTGCTGGTACACTCTCCTGGCGAATCTGATTGTACAGGTCCTGCGACTCCCAGAATCGCGCGGAATTGTCCTTGACGTGAACGAGCAGGTGAACATCGTACTCGCCGCCCGATCCCAGAGAGACTTCACTGATTAGCGCTCTAAGGTTCATTATAGATTGACGTGTGTAGCGGAAGCCTGTCCATGTTCGTAACACAACTGCCTGCCGAGAGATTTGCGGCGTTGCATCTGTTGATGCGGTCTTTGTTGCACTTCGAAGAGCAGAACGCAGGGTGTTATCGTGATAACACCTCGTCTGCGCAGCTGCCCAGTCGACACTGCTCCAATCTATCGGACTTCGCTGGGTCTCGCGATCGCTAGGCCAAAATTCGTTGCTTCTTGTCGACTCAACAACCGAGCCATAGGCTTCCAGACGCCCAGCTCGGTCGAAGCAAACGTCGTCTCTAAGACCGAGTACCTCATAAGAGCCATAGAGAGGGTCGGGATGGTCCTGCGGCATACCGAGATAGGCATGCACTTTGGGAACGGCGACGGTTCGCGCATCATTGAGGAAGCACTCTTGCATGAAACTGGGTCGACCAGCAGTGTTTCGAAAACCGTGATAGGGGTTGTATTCGACCAAGCGGTTGTGTATTTCCTGCTCTTTCAGCCAGACAAAGGCGCTGTCATTTCTGGCCTGACCATGCGACTCGGCGACATGTTCTTGATCCAAGGTTGATACAAGGCTGCGAACGCCCGAGTAGTAGCCGTCGAGCCTGTGGTGTAGCCGTTAGCAGAGCACGACCCAGGGTGGTGGTATGCACTCACAGAGGGAACTTCTCCCAGTGTGCGCCAAAGAAGAGCAGCTGCGCACCTCGACGTGTCCGATCAGGGATATGATACAGCACAAGACACAAAATCAAGGCAGCAGCCGCAATGTTGCGCAACAACCTGAGAGGTCGATTGCAGAAGGGCGACTGGAAACCGCGCATTGATTATAGTGCAGGCGGCGTAAGACCAGTCCTTGTCTCTCAGACAGAGCCGAGCAGCATGGGAAACTCAGCATGTCCGAGACTTACAAAAGAAGAAGATACAAATCCTTGTCGCGCGCAGCGGTCTGCAAGCGCTAAGGCGCAGCGTCCAGAAGCAAATTGGCCGCGTGGCTATGAAATCATGTCTCCCAAACACGAGATAGGGGTTAGACATCTCAGCGCATCTATCCTGCAAAACCCACCAAAAACACTAAAGTCATCAAGTACTTATCTGCCCGTGCTCGTCCACAGAGTTGGAAACGGAAATCCTTCAGCTCTTGGGGGTGCTTTTTGGCCATGGTTTCGATCGAAAATCAACGAACAGGGCCCAAACCCTGGAGGCAGCTATCGGTGGCGCCGTTGTCCAATGCCGATCGTTCGACGGCAGAAGGTCAAAGCTTTGGTTTGGTTATGCGAGTAAGCACCTGCCAAGTACCCAAAGGCCTTGCTTAGCATGTCCAGATTTTGGATATGGCGTTGTGCAGCATAGCAGCAGTAGTGAACTGATATTCGGCCTACGACGAACGGGAATGTTGAGAAGCGGCCGACACAGTTCCGGAGACCGACAAGCCAGACTTGCAGAGGCGCTCAATCATGTCTCAAAGGATGAATCCAAGCTGCCAATGGCACGATGATCCTGATCCATGCCGTGGATATTTCCTAGCAAGCGACACACGTGCTCGGGTTGCTTTTGGCGGCCCTGGTGGTGTTTGGTGGGACCAGCCGTGGTTCCTCTCGGAGTCTCGGAAAAGTCGAAACACGTGCGTTCGAGACAAGCTCTCTCTGGGCCTTGGCCTAAATCTTGGCGTAGAGCTCTCTCGGATGACGACGATGCTATGCACGATTACACTTTCGACTTTTTCTTCATGCTCAATCCATGCGAACATCCACGGCAGTGGATGGTGCGAGCTGCCTGATATGGCCTGGGGGATCTGCCGTAGCATCCCGAGACCTTGATGGCGCCGCAGTACAAATGCCTGGCCCTCGGCCCTCCCAGATCCATAGCTGTAGACACCTGAGACCTCATTGACTCGACCAAGATGCTCTCTTCTTTGTTCAACGTAGCTGCTCTGGCCCTCGTCGCCGATGTTGCCTCTGCTGCAGCTGTGAGCTCGGCCACCAAGGCTAGCTCTGCCAGTGTCGTTTCCGACTCCAAGATTGCCGGCTCAACAACCAGCGATGTCTTCCCTCCTTCCGGCAGTGAGTAGTATGTTTGTCAGTCGTAGACGCAGATCAATTGACTCCCCTCAGCCACGGTCAACACATCGCTCTTCCCTGACGAGTCCAAGGTTGGCTTCCCTGGTCCTACTCCCACTGGTCTTGAGGGCGATGCTATCCAGACGGCCCCTCTGTACCCCTACAACTCGGCTGCCGCTGCCGCTTTCCCTCTGGCTGTGCCTCAGCCTCACGGCTCGTCTGCTTTCGGCGACAAGTTTGACATTACCAAGTACTGGGGTAACCTCAGCCCCTGGTACTCGGTCTCTTCTGCCGACTATGGTTTGCCCGACGCCAATCCCTTGATTCCCGAGGGCTGCACCATCAACCAGATGCTTCTGCTGTACCGTCACGGTGCTCGTTACCCCACTAGCGGCGCCGGTCCTTCGACTTTCTCCCAGAAGGTCCACAATGCCACCGCTTCTGGCTTCAATGTCACTGGTGAGCTGACTTTCTTGGCTGACTGGACTTACAAGCTCGGTGCTGAGCTTCTCACTCCCTTTGGTCGCAGCCAGAACTTCCAACTCGGTATCGAGTACCGTCAGCTGTACGGTGAGCTCCTCAACAACTTCACTGAGCAGGACGCTCTGCCTGTCTTCCGCACCGAGTCGCAAGACCGCATGGTCAAGACTGCCGAGAACTTTGCTGCTGGTTTCTTCGGTGTCCCTGAGTACTTGAACCAGGTCAACATTGAGATTCTTGTTGAGAACTCGACCGTCAACAACTCTGGTGCCCCTTACGAGGTTTGCCCCAACTCCAATATTGCCAGCCGCGGTAGCATCGGTAGCTCTGTCGCCAACAAGTTCGCTGCCAACGCTTTCAACGCCACCCTCGCCAGACTGAACTCTCAGGTCTCCGGTGCCCTCAACTTCACTTACACCGACGCCATTGATATGTTGCAGCTCTGCTCGTACGAGACCAACGCTCTCGGCTACTCCAGCTTCTGCGGTCTCTTCACCGAGGAGGACTTCATCAACTACGAGTACTACTACGATTTGTATTTCTACTACAACAACGGACCCGGCTCGCCTGTCTCGGCTGCTCAGGGCAAGGGTTTCCTCGAGGAGTGGCTTGCACGCTTCACCCACACCTACNCCCCAGCCAACTCGGCTCTCAACAAGACTTTCGACAACTCGTCCACCTACTTCCCTCTGAACCAGTCCATCTACGCCGATGCCACCCACGAGGTCGTCGTTCTTGACACTTTGACTGCTTTCAACTTCACCGCCTTGTTCAAGGGTCCCGCTCTCAGCGCTACTGGCAACCAAGGCCTCAACTCTTTCGTTGCCAGCAAGATCGTTCCTTTCGCCACCCACTTCACCACTCAGATCATGACCTGCCCTTCCAGAAACGTCACCAAGCAGATTCGTTTCCTCATCAACGATGCTGTCATTCCCGTTTCTGAATCTCACCCTGGCTGCCCTGTCGACAAGGACGGTCTCTGTCCTTTCGACACCATGGTCAGTGTCTTGCAGAAGAGAGCCAACGAGATCAACTTCAACTACGACTGCTTCGCTAACTACACCGCCACTGCTGGTAACAACTACAACGGCCGTGCCCCTAATTCTTAAATTAATGTGTAACTATATCTTGTACAGCAGATAGAGATAATAAGGTTGCGGTTTCGAGACCGACAAGTTCTTGGCGATTAATCCTTCCTCGCGAAATCTTAATTCTCATGATTGTGAAACGATTAGCACGTGCCCTCATACCGCAATTGGCTCATATATGAGCACGACTTCTTCCGCATTCGCGGGGAAGGAGCGACGCTCGTCACCTGCAATTCCAGCTTGGTTGACATCTGTCGACTTTGAAACTTCCGTTTGCTTCTCCTGTCTACTCGCGACCATCGCCAGAGTCCTACCTGCCTGGCCTTGACATGGCGCTCTCATCACCGAACCTATTGTACCACGTCAGTGCATACCTCAATCACCGCGATCTAAGCAGTTTCTCACTGGTCAATCGACAATGTCACGACTTTGCAACGAAGCATCTATTCAGGACTATTACCCTCGAATTCTATTCGCCAGACACACTCAACTCTGCTGTCAAAGAATGGAATTGCATACTGCAGAGGACGCAAAGCTTCCAGCACGTCCGACATGTCAAAGTCCTCGCAAGGTACCTCCTCCGACAACCGTGGACTCAGGCCATGGCTGATTGCGGAGATGATCCGGCAGAGCCTTGGAACTACTGCTTTGTGAATATCTTCAAATCTACACTTGTCAATCAAGATCCGGAGTGGGAGAGTTTAGGCTGTCTGATAAAGAAGCTTCCAACGCTACAAGATCTCACATGGGGTTGCCAAGAGCAAATCCCTGCGTCTCTCCTGAGATACATCAACCACAAGCGACCAAATCTCCGACTGCATATGCGGAACTTCAAGATGCCTAAGCTGATTCGACGTGCTACAAAACCAATCGTGCTTGACCCTTACGAAATCGAGTTGGCCACATCGCCTTGTCTCTACTCTCTTACCAGGAGATCCGGATATCTTGAGGCCAATCGTGCAGATTACCATGAAGATGCAATGATGGATCTGCTGGCAGGGGCGGCGCCGGATCTGCGAGAGCTCAATTTCTGGCTGTCTAGAGACCATTCTCCTCAGCCTTTGCCAGGGCCTAGGCATCAATACCAGCGCGGTAGTATACTTTGTGCTTCTCCTTCAGGTTTTGGCTCTCTGAAAACCTTGAATATCGTTGCGGATGATTCGACTCGTGCTCTTCGGCAATGGAGCTCGGTGACAGATTTTTCAAGCTTGCAGAATCTTACAGTACACTATCATGTCAAAGATGACACGCTCCTCTGGCTAGCTTCTTGTCGACTTCTCGCGCTTGAGCGTTTATCTTTGAACGTCGGGGACAAAAATTCAGATCCCACCGAGGCTTTGAATATGTTGATACTCTCCCTTCCTTGTCTCGACAGCTTGAAGCTATCAGGACACCTCACCTTTTGGAATCTTATACCGATCTTCGAGCACTGCGGGCAGCAATTGCGATGTCTACTCTTGTCTCATTCAAAACCCCGGCCGAGTATGGCAAATATCGCAAGCAAAGATTTCATCCTTGAATTACAAGAGAAGTGCCCGCGACTCGAGGAGCTAGCTCTTTGCATTATGAGATCCCAAGGCGACGCCGACGAGGTTGCTGTATACCGTGCCCTTGGCGCTTTTCGCCATGTCGGCAAGATCCATCTGACCGTGTACTGCCCACCGCCATTCCCCGCCTCCTTCCAATCTAGCGACGAGCTCGAAAACCAACACGCGAGCGATCAGGTTCCAGATGGAGAGACCAAAGCCGCAATGGACCACGCTCTGATCAACGCCGCAATTGACGAGAACCTTGCACGTTCGATCTATAGAACCGTTTCTACATCAAGAGCCGAATTTTCCTATCCTCTTGAACACTTGTCTTTGCGTGTTGGAAAGACGTATAAAACCACCCAATTTACCTGGAAATTGGCCTACATTGGGCGCTCGTGGACTTGTGTCCGCAACGATCGAGACGACAGGCTGCATGAGTGTTCCATCTGCGAGTACGATATCAGAGAGAAATTGGACAGAGAATACAAGGAAGATGAGAATTCCTTCTTCAAAATTGACAATTCGACTATCCTGGAGGCTGTCTGTCGTGTTTGGCCTGCTGCTAGAAACATGGATTGGAAGAGAGCATGGCATAGCTTTCCACTTGCTGATTCTCGATGAGGCTTGAGACAGGGCTGCATTGGCTAGCTTAGCCACCACTAGCATGGTTCTAATGATTCTTCGATCCTCGCTACTACCATCTTTGGCTGGAACGAGGACTCCAATCAGTTCTGACCTCAGTATCAATTGTGGGAATATCAACATACGAAGACAGTGCCAAGGCTGGATTTTACACGAAGGATTTTGACGGTTACAGGCCAAGATTGCAAACGCCCAACATACAGGTTCAAAAGTGGGTCCAAGGGCATCAAAGACATCATCGTCTCTTTTACGTCCGTACAGTTCAACAGTACGCTGACGGCACTAAACCAGACCTCGCCAAGGAGTCTTGGGTTGCTCATAGTAACACGAAGTTCTCCGGGCCCGGGGAACACAGACCGCTAAAGATTCATCAACACAGCACAAGACCTTACAAACTGACCAGTTCGCTGCCGACCTCACAATGCCTTTGCCAGACATACCTTTGCTAAAGCAACCAATCGCACTCCGTACGGAACTCATAGCGCAAGCTCCAGAGACTTTGATCGTCAATCAGCACGACGGAGGACTCTCAGGCGCAGACTTTTCCATCGTCCGCGCATCCGATCGCGCACTTCTCGTTGCAGTTGATGGGAAACTGCTGTCATGGACACAAAAACGGACTTTTCGCGATGCATCTGGGCTACCTCTGTTCGATCTGTATCGCAAAGCCATGGGTGTGACTTGGTTTGTTGAGTTGCCTGATGAACGAGGTGGGGAACCCATCATAACCATTGCTCCTCGAACCAGTGTATTTAAAGACAAACTGGACCTGTTTGTGCACAACGCCGCCAACCAAGGCGAAGTGGTGAACCTGGAAGTCCGCGGACAAGACATTTGGAAGATGAGAGTCAATGTCTACCTTGGCGATCAGGTAGTCATGTCTTCGAAGCGGACTGAGAAGCTGGCTGGCTATATTCCTGGAAAGAGGCCCGATTGGAAGGTGGACATTGCTGAAGGTTTCGATGCTTCTTTGGTAAGTTTCAATTCTGCAGGATTTTAAAAGCTGGGTCTTATGTCTCATGCAGNNGCTGCTGTAATCATGGTTGTTCTGGCTGCTACATTATACGACAGCAGTATGAAGACGTCTTTGTCTGCTGGGACTGCTGGAGGAGGTAGTGGTTGCTAAAAGTGCGCACAAACTTGGCTATATCCAAGGTTGACGGTGACAACAGTGGGATTTTAGCATACTGATATATCATCTGTACAGCAGTGGTCTTGAACGCAAGCCTTTCACAAAGATCTTCTCTAGTCCTTCCAAACGCACTCATTGTGGCTTGCTTCGTTCAGCGGCATTCAACAGATGCTAGAGACCACAGCTCTTCTTACGCGAACCTTAACATCCTTTTGCTTCAGGAACCACATGTTAGTATATTTTACCTCTTCCTGTAACAGCTCAAGATCATAACTCCTCAGTAGCTGTGGTACCAACTTGGCTATCTCGAGGATCGAGATGTTCTTGCCTATACACGTTCGTTTACCTGCACCAAAAGCCATCCAGTAATGCTCCATATCTCTGAGCTTGTCTTCGGGCGTGATATTTGGATCCCAGCGTTCAGGTCTGAAGTCTAAAGCATCGCTACCGAAAACTTGGATGTTTCTATGCGCGACCCAGACGTTAATTCCCACGATNTGCCTATAGTAGGAACATGTCTGTTAGCATGTTTTGTGCCAGAAACGTGCACAAGTACTGACATCTTGGGGGAAATGTGTTCCAGCGAGCTCTATACCGTCGCTCTGCACAACTCTCCACATTGGCAATCCAGTTGCTGGATGCAGTCGCATTGCCTCTTTGATCACCATCTGAAAATAAGGCAAAGCTTGAGCTTGTTCGAAAGTGATGGGATCATCTGCTTTACCTTGCGCAGAAGCTTCTCTGAGCTCTTCGCGCAACCTTCGAAGGACTCTAGGTTTCTTAATGACATTATAAAGAATTGCCGTTAGAATAATGCTTGTGGTGTCACTTCCGGCAGCAACATTACCGTCAGGCGCAATGAACATGCGAAATTTCTCGTAATCCTGTGGCGACTGCGCGCGAAGGGCTTCTAGCTTGGAGATGAAGGTCTCAGGTCCAGCATTCATGGGTTTGGCGTCGAAGAGATCTGAGTGTCCAGATTCATTCCTCTTCGCTTCGACCATGCGGTTCACAAATCTCGAGATTCCAATGGCAGGGTTGCCAAACCACGCAAAGAGGAGTGGCAGAAGCGTCCAGTCAATACCAGCCAATGTGTTGAATAAAAGAGAGCCCTCGACTTTCTTCATTATACCGTCGATGTCCTCGCCGCAATCTAGAAATCCTGGCCGTTTCCCGAACTGTTCCTCACCTCAGTCCTCTAGAAAAGCTCACAAGGATCAGGATGTACGTACTGTCAAATCTCTAATCACGTCAAATGCAAAACACTGCATCCAATGTTGCAAGTCAAACACCTCTGCAGAATCTGCGAAACGGTCCAAGTTATCCGTCAAGATGCCAATGCATGTGTCCAAAAACGGCTCGTATAACTTTATAGAACTCATGGCGTAGAGGTTAGACACCTTTCTCCTCATCATATGGTGTATCTTGGTGTCCAAAGCAGAAAACAGGTTATGGTTGGCTACACGCGGGTCACCCCAGAAACCATACCAACTGGACTTGGGCATGGGGTTCTTGATGCCGTAGACGAGTTTGACGGCCGCTGGATCATTTATACTGTACATCCGTGGCGCGACTCGTATAACGTTACCTAGCACTGTGTCAACACAGACAAAAAGTCATCGCTGTGTTCACTGACTGTGCCGAGCATGATACAAAGTATTCCACTCCTCGAAATTGCCCTGCCAGACTTTCCAAAGGTACCAGTGATGTGTGTAAACAGCTATCGCAGGTCCTGGTGCTGAGGGGTATTGGTACCAGTCGATGATCTTTCTCGAGAGCCAGATGAAGCTCACGGCAGCAAAAGTTACAACCACAAAGGTTTTCATGGTATGTTTTGACGCACTTCCAGGCGTTACATGGAACGACAAAACAGTTTCGAGTCTCCCGATCTTCATTTGTTTTGATCAGGGTGGCCGTCGTGCAAGGCGAAAGATAAGTCTTGTAGTATCAAATATCACGTCATTGGGATCCTTCGACTTTTGTTCGGGAATCCTTCGAGCACGTGGTACGCGGAAGATAGCAGTCTTACTGCTATGAACTTCTAATGCCTCAAGTCGATGTCAGTAGTCTCTATAGAATATCTAGGGCGAAGCGCTTGCCCTCACTTCTAATTGGTCGAGTCATGGAACAGTGAGCCATGATTCATCTGCTCACAGTCAGACCCAAGAACAGATGTCATTGAATCTTGCTATGGCTAGAGACGTTGATTGGATTCGCATGTAGAAGACTCTCATTTCAAAGTATCGAGGTGCTCTTGTTCTTCCTTTGTCGAAGTGCGCCCTAGAGCCATATTCCTGTATGGAAACCTTCCAAACCGTTTGATGTCATCGTAGTGCTCATCCACAGCTTTCTGGATGAGTCTCCTGCAATCTTCCAATTCTTCTTTCCTCTGCACCGAAACACTGCGACAAGCCAATACAACATCATCCTTTGCGTCAATCTTCCCTTGCATCAACAGATCCATATCTCTGAACCTATCCTTCTGCTCTTCCACCATGAGTTGCTGCATTTCCAGATCTTCTGCATGTTCCATCGGCATAAAGAACCAAAGCCTATACCCCAATCGAAAGCGAACCTCTGGTGATTGATGTATATCCAGTTCTCTTGCTTTAAGCGCAATTTCCAGAGCCAAAGGATCAAAGACACGAGATATTTTCGCTGCTTCCATGCCGCGATAGCAATTTCTTGGTATCTGGTCGAGGAGAAGAATTAATGCCATCCATTCTAGCGCTGTGTTTGGATTTGCAGCTGTGAGGATTTGTTCGGCGCTGGAGTGCTGCGAGATGATGGTGTCAAGCACAGAGCCGAAGTTTGTACTGGTAGGTGTGGAATCAGCATCATGTACTCAACGTAATTGATGGGAGAGCGTGACTTACCGGCAAGCGTTGTCGAACTCATCAGTTTTGTCCACGAACCAAACATCAAGATCCTGTGTGCTGGGAACGACAATATGGCTTGAATCAACCAAATGAGCAGACCAGAAATGCTGCAGCTGGTTGAGTATGCCAGAGGCAAAAGCCCCAGTCAATTCATGACTAAATTCTGTATTGGTCATGTCTGTGGTGAATAGAACTCTGGTTCTTTTATTCTGTGTATGGATTGTAGTTGGAAAAGCATACTAAACGTCATCGTTTCGGCTTTGAATATGGGCCGTGCACGGGAAATGGTCTGTGGATATATATATGCACAAGTCCTTGGTTTTTGAGAACGTCAAATCAGGAAATCGTGTGGTCTGGCTTCACATAGTTTTGGAAGTTGTAGGTGAGCATTACATGTGATGGGTTGAATCACAAGTGATAATCATACGGACATCTGATGATGAGGTTTGATCAAGTTATATAGCATCCTCCACCACAAAGAACAGTCAGCGTTTGGAAACTATAGTCAGGCAACTTACCCATTATCAAACACTTCCATCAAAGAAGCGGTCTTCGGTTGTTGAAAGTGAGCCTATAGGTGCATCTGACTTGGGTAGATGTTTCCAATATTCTCGAGCAGGGTCACCCGAATGGCAATGTAGCCACGATCGATTTTGTTGTTAGCATGCCGGCCCTCCGTCTTACACTTACAGAGATAAATTACCAGAGACTAACAGCCGATAAACATGCGAACCATTCTCCAGATCTATCACAAGAGGTGAGAACATGTTCGGGGTCGTACCCCAAAAGTGGGTCTCTACCACGTCGCAAGACCCTTGTTCTACCCCGCGGGTAGGAGTGGGGCATGACGCAGATAGACCCCTCAGCCCCTCACTGTGATGTACAAGATTGCTCTTATCGACGTGAGCTCCAAGGGATTAGCAATAGAATAACCTCGGCGAGGTGTCCAAGGTGTTTATTTGTAGATCAGGCTCCCACTTTGCGAATATTCTTGCTGTATTGATTGTTTTGCGACTTTTGCACCTCGAAAGAAGATACGAGTAGCAGATATGGGCAAGAAGAGAGTTTTGGTCAGCTATGGTGTGTCGCTGACGTGAAGATGTCGAGGATGAGTGTGGCTGACGAGAGCTTCCANNGGTGTTGACATTGATGCTGTCGCAGGATGGTTGGGATCATACGGCGGTGAAGACTCGACCAGCGACATTAGTAGAGGTAAGTCGCCTAACCGTCCCCGGGCCACTGCTTCCTCGAGCTCGTTCTGACCATTGCGACAGNGAATCTTCGCCGGCACAGTGGGTGTCCAGCGACTGCTCAAGCTATTCGACAAGTACAACATCAAAGCGACATGGTTCATCCCCGGCCACACACTCGAGACGTTCCCCGAAGATTGCGCCGCAATCAGAGACAAAGATCATGAGATTGGTTTGCATGGATACAGTCATGAGAATCCAGCAGATATGACGATTGATCAGCAGCGCGATGTGCTGGACAAGACATACAAAATGTTGACAGAGTTCTGTGGCAAGCCTCCCAAGGGCAGCGTGGCTCCGTGGTGGGAGACTAGCAAGGAAGGAGCGGAGCTCTTGCTCTCGTACGGCATTGAGTATGACCACTCGATGAGCCACGAAGATTGCCAGATGTACTGGCTACGCACAGGTATGTACTTGACCTTGTGAACCACCGACGAAAGATGTGGAATTGACATTGCGATGCNNACAGGCGACTCGTGGACCAAGATCGACTACAGCAAAAAAGCAGAAGAGTGGATGAAGCCCCTGGTCAAGGNNGGTGAAGACACGGGCATTGTTGAGATCCCGGCAAACTGGTACATCGACGACCTACCCCCAATGATGTTCATCAAGAAAGCACCAAACAGTCATGGTTGGGTCAGTGCAAGAGATGTCGAACAACTCTGGATGGACCACTTCGACTACTTCTACCGAGAACACGATGATTTTGTGTTCCCCATGACAATCCATCCTGATGTTAGTGGAAGGCCGCATGTGCTGTTGATGCATGAGAGGATCATTGAACATATCAACAAGCATGAGGGTGTCGAGTGGGTGACGATGGGCGAGATGTCGGATGAGTTCAAGAAGAAGAACTCACCGCCACCGAATGCATTGATGCCTGCGACAAGAGAGGAGGTGGAGGAGATGTTGAAGAAGCAGAAGAAGTGATGGCTAGGTATGGTCAATTGATGACACGGAATATTACCTTGATGAAATTTGGCAAAGAAAGGATCGGCAGCGGCAGCGGCAGCTCGCGCGTCAAAAGCGGGGCGGTTGCGCGCCAAAGCCGGGGTCTCGAATGCAGGCACCGGTGCACCTTCCCTTGTTCCGAGTGTTTTGTTCCTTCCTCTTTAGATTCATGTGAGGCAGCAAGATGGAGGAAGGAGAAGTCGACTTGCGCGCGCTCGACTATGTGTCGGCTTACGACAGCAATCTGATGTGTCCAATCTGCCGGAGCGCCTTTGTCGACCCGGTTGTTGTAGCCGACTGCGACCACCATTTCTGCCACGACTGCCTCGACTACACAACCAGCTGGAACCAATACTCGGGCACCTGCCCAGCTTGCCGTCGCCCTGGACGATTGATCGGTTCTGGTTCAGCTTCCAAGCTTTTGCTCAACATCCTGGATGATCTCGTTGTCAAGTGCCCAAATCAGCCCGAGGGATGTGACAAACAAGTCAAGAGAGGCCATCTGCTCGACCACGTCAACATTTACTGCGACTACACCTTGATCGACTGTCCAGACGATGAATGCGACCGCAAGGTACAGCGAAAAGATGGCGCGCATTGCGTGCACCAGCCTGTGTCCTGCCTCGCTTGTCGCCATTCCATGACCGTCCAGGACCTCCACGTGCGTCCACTCTACATCTACTGCACTCGCCTTAGCTAACTTCAGTCTCACNAGTCACACTGGAAAACTGTCTGTGCCGACCATGACATCCCGTGTCCATCCTGCGCCGCCTCGATACCCTACCGCTACCAGCAGACCCACCTCGCCCATCACTGCCCCGAGGCCAATGCTGCCTGCCCCGCTCGACAATTCGGTTGTCCCTTCAACACCAAGCGCAAGCACCTGCCGAGTCATGCTATCATGTGTTCACTTGCGAAACTCGCTCCATATCTCTCCGCTCAGCAACAGCGCCAGGACGAACAAGACCAAGCTCGCCAACTGCTTGAGAAGAAGCTTCAAAGCCTACAGAAAGACTTGTCCGAGTACAGGAATATGTCACAGCCGGACAGGAGAGTCTCTGTGCCACGGGAAGAGCCCTCGTACTTTCCCAACAACATCGCAGGCTTTGAGCTGCCAGACTTTCAAGACTTTCAACCTCACGCCTCTCCAACTCAGCATCTCCTCTCTCTGCATGAGAATCTGCGTGAAGAAGTCTCGCGCCAAGCCAACACAATCCATGAGGTCGACACCAGGCTGAGCATGATGCTGCTGAATGAGAATATGCGCCTCAAGGACGAACTGGCCTACCAGGGCGCCCAGCTCAGCGCTCTGATGCGACAGGTCGGCTGGTTGACAAACGCCCGCCTGCAGGCCATTCAACCGACTTCTGTCTCGGTCGTAAACCAGGCAGACCAAGGTCCCAGCGATCCCTCAAGGATCAACCCGCGCATGCCAGTCAGACGCACAACCGATGAGGGAAGGACTAAGCTGTAACGAGACTTGATGATTCACGATGAGATGAACTATGTATGCGTATACCCGTTCGGAATATTGATGCTTTTGGACCGCTCAATGAGTCTTTCCGCATAAGAAGCGACATGTCAAAAGCGGCGCCTCCCATCTTTCATGCAAGGGCCAAAGGGGTCGCCCTGTCTTGCGTCTTGTTTGAGAACCATCATTCGGAAGCCAATGGCCGTAGAAAAGGATCAAAGCATCTCATCGGGAGGCTGATGTCGATGCATGTCATTCTGCATCTGATACGTTTGCTACCCGTCTTCTGCATTGGACCAACGCCGCCGACTGGTCGACTTCTTTGCAAGAATCAGACCCCACAGAATATCATGTCTTAGCATGGAGCAGACTCATCTTCCGAGGGTGATCAGCACGTCTTTTTGATCCTACAGACACTACAGGCGGCTTTTGTGCGACTTGACCACGCGCCTCGGTTGATCTTTCTCTCATGCTTGTCATTTCATTGACTCCCACAATGACTTGTCACGAGGCTGACAAGCTGGATTGCTAACAACAGGCATGCTCAGTTCTGCAACATAACACGCTTCCTACTGTGTTCGCTTGCGCAAACCCGGGAAGTTGCGGAGCCACTCCGTCGGAATCACATGAACGCGGTGGGACGAGAAAGCACTGGAGATCAGCAGTTGCATCTTGACCCCTCTTTACCTGGTTCACCTTCGACTCGTTCAATTGATCCTCGCTTTGCGACCCCGACCAACATGCACACACGCGGGCATGCAGTAAGAAGCTTAGCAGAGATTAGGAGTTCTCACTCCCGTGCGACTCGACGTAGTTTCCTTGCCTATCCAAAGTAGCCTGCCAAACCCCTCTCCCTTCTGTGAAAGGTCTGGAGTAGGCGGCAGAGACTTCAGATCATGACACACGCATACGTCCGTACGACAACATTGACGGTATCGAGCAGTTTCTACCTCCTTCAAGGTTTCACGCAGCATTGCCATTTTTAACTTCTGTTGCCTTTTCTTCCATCTCGTGTCGAGACTCGACCTTTCTTCACCGACTGTTGCTGGAAAGCCTCATTGGCGGTGAGTCTCGAGAAGTGTTGGCAAACAAACAGACCATGAAAAATTCTTCAAATTTCCCTTGGGCATGGACACATATCTCAGGATGGAAGCGAAGCAGCCGAGCATATCCTGGTGTCATGCAGCCCTGGGCAAGTAACGCCAATCACGGCACGCGAGGATGGTGGAATCCCAGTGGCATGGATAGGGGAAGTCGGAATTGATTCTACCGGCTATTCAATCAACAGCCACACTAGACTCGTCTGTCTTCAAGTACCCACGCGCCGGTGAGATGTGATATGCAACGCGCTGTGTACCATATGCACAAACAACGGGTTCAACTTAGAAGAGTGTCTCTTTTGATGCCCGACTTTGAGACAACGAACCAGTCGCGTGCATTGGTTTCGTCAACTGTGTTGGACAAAAGCATAGCTTTGATGTTGTTGGCGGCGTAGCGACAACAGATGAGCGGTCAATAACAAAGAGTCCTGGTCGCAATTTACGTGAGAAATGTGGTGGCCGAGTGGCACACACGACAGCGAAAGAGGTCTAAAGAAAGGTGAAACCTTGGAGGAGAAAAAAGAGGGCTGGTGCACGTTGTGACAGACCGTTGACCCTTCCGCCCCCGGGAAACAACTTCATGTCAAGACGTGAGCTTTGACAATTGAAGACGGATCGACCAAAAGGAGAGCCGCAGATGAAATTATACCGGGTAGTTGTAAAGACTCAATCTGGTTGAGACCAGATCTTTGCAGTGTTGGAAATGGGAGTACGCATGAACGCTTACCAAGGAAGAAGTAGGCATGCAAGTCGGCAAGGCCAAGGGCAACAATAGTTCTTTTGACCATGGCACGGAAGAAATGCGTTGGCGGCCATATTGGGCTGTCACCAACTGGTTTTGTGGCGCCGGGTCCGGCTGCATCATCCTTCATTGCTGCACGCCACGCGCCTTGAGGTCTGCCTCTTTCGCTTGTTCTGGGCAAGGAAAATACGAAACTTGTTGCGGCTACCCGCGCGTGGGGGTCATTTGATGCTCTCTTCTTGTCCTTTAACGATGATTCGAAGAAGATGTATCCAGGCAGCATACTGAGTATTGGTGAATCATTGGAAGGCAAGGGAAGAAGCATCGCAGAGTGATTCGCTTGTGTGATTTGAGTTGTGTGGTACCTCATCACAAACCCGACCTACCGGAAGCCCTCGAGCGAAGGTGTTATTGGAACGTCTGTTCCTCAGCTCAGCACACATCTCGGCAGGATCAAAAGGATGACGGTGGGTGCCGCAAGGATGGGACTAAGCTGATGCATGGTGGCATGGATTTAGTGTGGGAGGAGTAATAAAGGAGCAACGTGCAAGGGTTAGGCAAATTCTGCATGTCTTGGGCTGAGAAGCTGCATGCTGCCGGGTTCGTCTTCTCATCTTTATGCGCGAGGGTTCCCACTCGGCAAAGCAGCTAGGGACAAGAGTCGATCACAACCCCTTTTTCTTACTCGTCGACTGCATTTGCGCAGAACAAAACCAGCTGTCCATTGTTTCGGTCATAACAGAAAACAGAGGACGACGCATATCTCTGGACGGCTATCAAGTTTGATGAGTTTGCGGACGGAAGAGGCACCGCACAGACGCATTTGTCCAGCCACAACAAATTCGCGCTCCTCCCGAGATTTGAGGAACGGTTCACGCAACAGCTTCGTGTGCTTTGTGCTGGGCGAGGTCTGCATCCCAGCCATCTTTCTCTGTCCTCGACTTGTTCTCTACTTGAAGGCGGTTGCTTATTTCCTGCTTTTCTGCTTGCAACGTCAGCCAATCCCTGCCCATTCATATTAATCCTTTGCGACGACTTGCGACGCGACAATAACGATCCGCGTCTGCCGAGGGACCTTTTCTATCTTGGAAACAACCGTCTCCTATCTGCGCTCCTCTAAATCTTGCAAGAAGCCAAATGTTGGATACACAAGGACAAAGCAAACGTTCGAGTTCAGAAGCAGCAGCAGCAGAAGAGGCAGTTGACTTCTACAATCATCTATAAGATTCGACTTGGACTTTGATTGATTGATCATCTCGTCGACAACTTAATATCTCTTTTTATTTTTCTTCCTTTTCTCTTCACCTTCTTCCACTTCGACATGTATCCACCTTATTCATCATATTATACTGGATCGCCTCACTGTAACATGGGTTACGAATATCACACATCTTCTACGACACCGCCACCTCCTGGCTATGGATATTATTCACCACGATATTACACGACATCTCCACCAAAGACGTCGGCGCACAAGCATACTCGACGGGCCACGCAGGACTACTCTTATCCTTCGACCAAGACAACATCTTATTACTACCCCGATGCATACGGCTATTCCGGGTATTCGCGAAAGCCTGAACATGTAAGTTCGAGTGACCGATACGCTCGGCAAGGGAAGGCAGAGTCCGGCGCAAGACGCGCATCGACGACCTATGTCTACTCGGATGGCCGCTACTACGCCTACGTGACCGAAGACGAGATCCCGCCGGCCTACTCGCGCGACCCGCGCAAGCACACGCCACCGCCGCAGTACTCCGAGGCTGATGAATATCCTTACTNNACCAGCACTATCAATCCACCCCTCAGCCTCGGCCAGAACCCCAACCGACGAGAAAACAGAGAGCTGCTTCCTATTCTACTCCAAGGCAATCGGCACCTCGCGACCCACCGCCCCCAAACCTCGTCAGCAACAACAACCACCCCTAAACGCGCCACCGCCACCGACCGCGATGCGCGCGCAGCTGGCATCCCCGCCGGCTACAACTTCAAAAACTGGGATCCGAATGAAGAACCCATCTTACTTCTCGGCAGCGTGTTTGACGCAAACAGTCTCGGAAAATGGATCTATGATTGGACAGTCGCTTTCCACGGCCCCTCAACCGCGTTTGCAGAAATGGCAGGCGACCTCTGGCTCTCCCTCATCCAACTAGCCGGCAAAATCAAACGCGCCGAAGAATCACTGCCCAAAATCCGCCGCCGCGATGACCGCGAACTGCTCGACGATTTCCTGGACAGTGGCGAACGGCTGTGGGAAAGGTTTAACAAGCTACTAAAAGTGTGTGAGAAACACATGCTCAAGACTGCAAAACGGGAGCGCGGGAGTGAAAAGCTGTACATGGGAAACAATTCTGGCAGAGAGTTTGTGGAGACGATATTTGGCAGGGACAGAGAGTTGGAGAGGACGGAGAAACTCACGACGGGGATTCGGCTGTGGAGTATGCGATTTGATGCCAATTGTGAGGNNGATGTGTTGAGGGCTTGTCGTTAGAGCAAAGACACGTTCCATGATCAGCATCAATTCGCCTCTTTCCAAGATTCTTTTCTCTGGTTGGACTGTCTCGACTTGCCACTGACGAGGACCGTCGACATCTTGACACTATTACCTACAGCGCAAACCAATTCTTGAAGCCAGCAATGATTCAACACAACCGACACCAGCACAGAACATCAAACTCAACAGCTAAACAAACCACTTCACCAATTCCAACACAAACAGGCGCAAACGGGTTTCTTAACTTCCCTAACATGCTTTTACTTGGCCTACAGAGATACCCTTTTGCTTCCGATTCTAGCAACAGCATGGCGCAAACGGACTGAGACTGCTCGAGTTCTCCTTCGCTCATTTCCAACACTTTTCTCCATCTCCTCAACTCATGTGTGGGATATCCATTCTTGTCTTTTTCCTTCCGTTTGGCACTGATCTTTCTTTTTTCTCATATGCTTCTTGTTATTGTTCGTGGAAGGGAGGAATTCAGGTCCAAGGTATGGACGATGGAAGGGAAAAGTGCCGGTCTCTTTCATTCATTTTTCTCTGTCCACGGCTTGGTATTATGCATGCTTAGATTCTTGTGTCTTTTGGCATTTTTTTTTTTTTTTTTGTTTTAATAGCTCTTTTTTTTTTTTTTTTTAGTTTTTTTAAGTGCCTCACGGCCTACGAATTTCTGATATTTTTCTTATTCGAAATACCCAACTTTCAGCCACCTATTCTCGTATTCCTAATCACATCAATAAGAAACAGAAAAGTTGTCTTCGCGCACTCTTAAGATCCTGCTCAAAACCGGACTTTTGGAGTCTGAAGTCTTTGGGCATCAGCAGTTGAATATTGTACATGGATACGTTTATGTATAGCGATCAAGCGAACCAATGGCAAGTCTTGTCACATTTCTGACAGCGGCTAAACTTTTGGCGGCCCGTCAGATTTCGGTTCCCGCTATTGCAGGATGGCGTTTTTGGGCAGCACGTGTAGGTGTCTGCCACGTTGTTGGGCATCTAGAGGTAGATGAAGAAGCAGGTGTGGTAGGGCTGGCACGAAGGAAAAGAGTGACAACATAAGCTATTCTTGAAGAAGGTGAATAAAGGAACCTTGCCTGCATTACTCGATCGTGGCAGCAATGGCGGGTTACTTGGTCAGCGAGTTCTGATTGTGTGCTAAGTCTTGAAGTTCATGAGGTTTGGGCATTGCGAATGTAGCAGCCGGAACAAGACTGCTGTTGACATGATGCCGTGCATGTTGGTACACGATCTGAGATGCTGAGGGAGGTAGGTATGCCGATGTTCGTCGGGGTTGATGATCGAGTCAGCAACAGTATAAGAGTCATGAGACTGAATACTCATGCGGGGGTGGAAAGTGCCCTGCCGTCATTGCCTAAAATGATGGAAGGGAAGGGGAGCGGGCCGGGCCCAAATGCGCATGAACTGAAGATCACCTGCTTGTGTACAATAATGTCATGTGCAAACTACTGCGAACTGGTCCAGTCAGAGTGGAGTGCAGTGTGAGAGAAGTCAGCTGTCTTTGAAACAAGGCTGTCTTTATGTCAGGGAAGGAAGCGGCCCGTGTGTACTGCCAGATGTACATGATGTACAGTACACGTGGGGTTTTGAGATGTGTTTTTGAACAGATCCGATTCGTCGGAAGTCGATGGTCATGGGATTTGCGCTCCATGCGGGTGATAGTGGAATGTTGATCTGTCGGTCAGGTGTAAGGTGGATGTTGTAGGTGGGAAAGAGAAGATTCGGGAATCAACCAGCACCGAGATACTTGTCGACCTCGTCGTTGGAGTAGAACAAGCTCTGCAGTCTTGCGTGCTTCTTCTTGTTGTTTTGTTCGAGCTTTCTTATCTTTCCGGCATCGAGTCTCTCGACAGGTTTCAAATCTTGGACAGGTTTCCTCTTCTTCTTCAAGGTGGGTTCGTCGTCGTTGAGGTTGACGCCCAGACCGACAGTATCCCGCTTCTCTTTNGCCTTTACAGGATGTAAAATACCTTCCCTCTGGGCACCGAGACCTAGTCTTTCGTCGGGATTCCAGCCGTAGGATTGAAGAATGCTGAGACCTTTGCGATTCCTGTCGAGAGCGGACGGGGGNTGTGAATGAGGGAGAGCGATCTGGTGGACTAGCGAGCTACAGTGTGCTGCTTCATCGCCTACGTATTGTGTTTTGCAGATGTCGCAAGTTCTCGGAGCTTTGTCATCTGTTGGAATTTCTGAAGACGGCGGTGGCTCGGAAGAGGCTTTGGCCAGGACGATCTGTAGATAGCGCTCGCTCGCCGAGAGGGTCGAAGGAGTGGATGCGCCGGCAGGTGTGGTGGATTCCGAGGTTGACGATGGCACAAAGTGAACGCGCTGACGTTTGATACCCGCTCCAAAGTATCGCTGGTCCTTTAGTGGCACGCTGTAGTATTCGTCATCGCTCTCTGACATGGTTGAGTGTAAGAAAACAGAGAAGGAGCGACGACGACAATGACGCGTTGATTGACTTGTTCAATTCTGAACGTGTGGAGATGGCAGTTGCGACCCGGAGATTGCGGTGTTAAGATTGCGGCGACATTTCTCCCCCTTGCAGGAAGCAACGACCCAGAGCTCCTTCCTTTCTTGAGCGTCAACAAGATGCCTGTTCCGCTAATTCAGAAGGCGATACTGGATGGCCTGGACACAGTGCCCAACTCGGCCGTGCTGCTCAAGCTCGTGCCTGTTGTCCTCGTCGTCTACCTGATCCGAAGATGGTTCCAAGGAGCTACAAACACGTCGGAACGAAACATGCACGGCAAGGTCGTCATGATAACCGGCGGAACATCTGGCATAGGAGCTGAAGTCGCTCGCGACCTGGCCACACGAGGCGCTCAGCTGGTTCTCCTCACCCAACACGCTCTGGACGACTTTTTTCTTGTCGAGTATATTGAAGAACTGCGCGAACGCTCCAACAACGAATTAATCACGGCCGCTCAAGTCGACCTCACCTCGCTTCACTCGATCCGCCAGTTCGCTACCAAATGGGTTGATAATGCCCCTCCGCGCCGACTCGACATGATTATTCTTTGCGCAAACACCTTGACTCCCAAGGGCGGGAAGATTCAAAAGACTGGCGACGACGTCGAGATCAACTGGGGCCTCAACTACCTCGCAAACTTCCACCTGCTCAGTATCTTGTCTCCTGCCATCCGCGCTCAGCCGCCAGACCGCGACGTCCGCATTCTCATGGCAACCTGCAGCGCCTACATCGGTGGCACTCTTCCCGTCACGGGCGTCAAGGAAGCAAAAATCAGACAAAAAGAAAGAGCTGACAAATTCAACCCATACTCGGCCTACGCATCCTCTAAACTCGCCCTCATGACTTTTGCTCAGTCCTTCCAGAAACATCTCTCTGCTTACGCTCGTCCCGACAAGAACCCTATGAACGCAAGGGTCATCTTGGTTGATCCTGGGCAAACGCGTACCCCTGGAATGCGTCGCTACCTGACTTGGGGTTCCATCACTGGTCTTGTTCTTTATCTTCTGACTTACCCTCTCTGGTACATCATCCTCAAATCGCCCTCACAAGGTGCTCAATCCTTTNTGTACGCAGCAATGGAGGCGCAATGGNGAAGAGGCAATGGTGGCTGGCTGATCAAGGAATGTCGCGAGATTGCTCCTGTCAGAAGAGAAACGTTGGATGAAGAGTTGCAGAAACAGCTATGGGAGTACTCGGAGAATATGATCCAGGAGGCCGAGAAGAGAGGAGCCAAGAAGAGAGCAGAAGCAAAAGCCGAGGAAAAGGTCAAGCCTGCCGAACCCAAGAAGCCCGACGAGAAGAAGCCAGGCAGTAGAAGAACCAAGAAGGCCTGATTTGTCCGATACCACAAAAAGCATTTACCATTCTCCATCTCAACGCCACTGTTTCAATTCCTTCACCAAAGCTCGAGCTGACCAGTCGTCTTCTGGGTCATTAACCTGATATGTTATATCAAAATCGTGTCCAGACTTTTTAATATCCATCCCCACAACAAATCGGCCTAGGACTTTCTGACTCAACCGAGTAATCACATCTTCTAGTCCATTACTCCATTTGACCAGAACCCACGGTGCAACTTCCAATCCTCGAGCATTCTTGACCGTCACGCATATCTGTGGCATATCCTGAACTCCAGTCAGCTAGTCTCCATACATTTCAAGCATTAAAGGCTACAATACATCAAGACCTAGTTGAAGCATAACGACCAAATCTCTTGACAGCTTTCGTCCAGGATCGTCCAGATTATCCATTGCTTTTGCATAAACATGCATTTCAGCGACAAGATCCTCAATGTTTCCTCCTTTTAGCAAGTCGCTCAAATCGTCTTTGATTTGGTCTTCGATGGGTTTTAACCACTCGACTAGTCTGCCATTCCTTATTCTATTGGTTTGGAGCATTCCTGCTGGTGCTGAAGGAGGTTCGCCGTAGGTGTATCGTTCTATCAGTGCTTGGCCTAGCCATCCTCGTGACAGACAGTCGAGATATCTGTGCACGGCGGCAGGGTTGCGAGCTCCGCCTTGGAGAATCTCTTCTGCTGTGCAATGCAGAGGTTCGAGGAGGAGCATTGAATCTGGTAGGTCCATGGCGGGTATCGAGTTGGATTGGCGATTGTGATGTGTTTCTGTGATCTTATGGCTTGTGAACGACTTTGGTATTTTGTGATTTAGCGTGATTGCTGCCTGCCCTGGACCGTGCGAGACGCGTTTTCATTCGAGCTTTCATTGCTCTGTTCTCCTTGTGAACGTTCTTCTTGTCTGCATTCTTCTGCCACTTATCCTTCACCACCAGCCATCACAAGAACCTACATTGCGTTTGCTAGCCGAGGGTTCGAGACCGTTGTCTACAACTTTGGACCAAAGACATAAACATGCAGCAGTTTCTCTTGAATCACGCTCGACTGTTCCTCATATTAGCGACAGGCGGAGGATCCTAGAGTAAAGCCAGTCGTCGCCTCAGCCATTCGGATCGCTTCGGCAGACTGATGGACCTTTACGGCCGCATCGCTTGACACAAATAACAAACAGCACGATTTGATGTCTCTCAATGATGGGCACAAACTGCTGAAGGATTCAAGAAGGAGGAAGTTGATCGGCGCAGCCTCGGGACTCGGAACTGTCATGTTCTTCGACCCCTCTTCCGATCGCAACCCTCCTCTTTCCAGCCAATTCATAGACGATCTTTGTCAAATCAAGTCGGATTATTGATTCTTCTCGTGATGGGTCATCGCAGCGAAGGAACAACGAATCATGATTCTATTCGCATCGCGCCTCATCCGAACATGATCAATCAGTGCCAATCTTAGGCGTGTGATCATGCGCGCATCAAGATCGTCGTCTCAAGGCGGGAATAAGCAGGACATATGGCTTTTGGGACAACCAAGCCTTCAGACAAGCTCAAACGCCGTTTCGACCAGTTCTTAGGGGACCGCGAACACGAGTCTCGAAGCTTTATCGCTTGTCTGCGTTGTACGTCGTCGCTTTGATTGATAACGCCAGCCCTGCAATGGCAGGCCGATATCAACGTCAGTCAAGAGTCTCGCGTGCACAAGAAACCAAAACGACAGGATCAGGTGGAAAAGTCCGGCCCGATTGATCATAACCTGGTGGTCTTGGACCTCGAAAATGACGCTTGAAACGACTTTTGCTTGACTACATAACGACTTTTCGGATGTCGCTCTTCCGTGCGAAGCAGGGACAGAACCAATGCCTTATCATGCAAAGCTGTGATAGGCATGCCGATCTAGCTCGTGTCCTTCAGGATCTTCCTTTTGATCATCTCTGGTATCCTTCATATCAGACGCCTGATGCGAACGATATTTCAAACTTGCATCCTTCCCAGACTCGAGATAACGCTAACACCACCGTCTTCGGTCCTTCAAGACACCGAGAAGAAGAGCTGCGACAAATGCCTCGTTGATCACTTCAGTAGGATTCGGCATCATCTCAGGTCAAGTACAAATAGTCCGCCCTTCTCACCTCGTCACAGCTCAGAACAATCTCTTCACCCAACTCTTCTGCTCCAATGTCTGAACTCAAGTCAACCTCATACTCCTCATGCGTCTCTCACACTGGGTGTTGCAGACACTGTGAAACTTGCAACCCTGCACCCATGTTTGGTATGAAGACCCTCAAGACTCTTCTCTACTTCGTCTTAGTTGGCTTTGCAGCCACTGCCTTGAACCGATACCTTGGCGTCGCCGCCTCTCCAGTCTTTGACATGTCAGAGCTTATGGCTCGCGACGGAATTCCCCACATGAACATCTTCTATAAGGGCGAGCACTATGACAACGGCACAGGCTATAACTTCGACCTCTATACTGTCGATGACTCGCTCGATGAAATTTTCGCTTTCGCTAGTTACATGGCTGCATACGATGATGAAGATGACGGTGACACTTCCCCTGACCTCGAGAAACGCGATTGGTACGATTGTCAACATCTCTCTAGCATCCAGACCCTTGGCTGCAACAGTGGCCATGCTCTTGGCAGCTTCGTCTCTGCAACCGGCTCAGCAGCATTTGGCGGTTACCTTTCTGGTCTACTCAAGGAAGCCTTCTCCGGGGGCCGAGACAACAGCAGACCCAGATCTGTTTGTCTGTCCCGCGACAAGAACAACTTGTGCGTTTCTTGGGCTTCGTATACCGGCTCCGGGCTCCGTAGTGGCGAGGCCAACTCCATCACCCAGTTCTCCACTGAATGTGCTCAGAGTGACGGTAGTGCTGAATTCAAGACCACCATGAGCGACGGCGGTGTTCTGTTCATCTGTGTCAGTAACAGAGCTGACGGATGTGGCAAGAGTGTTTGTTGAAGAGATTGCTCTACTAGTCTTTCGACTCTCGCTTCCATATATGGTTCATTCCTCTGCTAGATGAGCCAAAGTTTTGGTTCGTTTCACGGGTGATGATGGCGACAGGATGATGCGCTGGTTGCTTATTGGCTTTTTGGACTTCGTTCACGTTTTTGGATTTTGCCTATGGGCTTTTGACTTTCGCTAACATATTCACCACTAATGTCATGTCATCTACACTACTACAATCTGACATCCACTGTTACTACCCTAGAGTGATTTTGTTTCCTAGAATCCAGATGATGACTTTATCCATTGGGACCATTACCACCACTGACGATTACATACATCAGCCACATCTTGCATATCAAGCAACCAATTTGTCAGGAGCAAACATGTACCTGGCACCTGTGATAACAACGGCACCGGCCATCATGACAGACGCACTAAAAATGATACCCTGCTCGTAACCAGGATAAGCATCAAACAGCGCACCAATAATGGGCGCACCCCCNAAAGCAGCAAAGCCAAAGACAAACGTCGCCTGACCGAGATACGTTCCCATCTGCNNAAGATATGTTAGCAGAAACGTCACTGTGGTTGTGAAGCAGGCACTCACTTGGCTGGGGTGATCTGCCATGTGTGCGATGACAGGGAACATCAGCGCGATGATCATGCCGCTCGTGGCTCCAAACAGTAAAGCGAAGATGATCAATCCGGCAGTCGAGGTAATGGCCAGCCAACAATACATAAGCAGTGCAGAAGCAAAGCAAGCAAAGACCATGGAATTAAACATGCCAAGGCAGAGCGCGACGAAACCTCCACCCACACGCCCCACCAGAGACCCAGCATTGAGGAATGCAAACAGGTAATTGGTAAGATGAGGCGACACTCCATGCGCCAAGCCATAATCGGCAAGGAAAAAGTAAGGAGAGAAGAATCCCAGAATGACCAGGAAAAGAGCGACGATTTGGACCGAGTATGCTGGCTTCTTGAATGCTCCGAGAAGTATGAAGGAACCCTTTCTCTTGATGTTCAGGGGGCGAAGTGTCAAGACGGCTATACCCAGCAGAAACAGACTCAGGAACCCACACACACGTTGAGCCCATCCAAATCCAATGCTTGGGATCAGGTTGTTCAAGATGATAGGGTATATGATGCCGCCGAGTGGAGATCCGGATGAAGCAATCGACATAGCCATAGCACGCTTTTTGAAGAAGTAGTGACCGACGATAGAAAGAGCCGGAGCATAGATGAGGCCTGAAGAAACACCCAGCAAAATACCTTGACACAGGAAGAACTGATAGAATTTGGTACAGAGACTGGTGAGCATCATGCCAATGACCAAAGACAGCGAGAACGGCCAGACGATTACCTGTCCACGATGATCAGCAAGTATCTTCGATGTTGAGGCGAAGGAAAAGCTCACCAGTGGACCGTAGCGGTCGCTAACGGGGCCCGAGATCAGAGTGGCTGAGAGCTGGACCCAGGCTTGAATAGAGCCTATCCAAGCAACAGTAGAGGGAGAATAGTCGTGAAGATAGGTCCGCAAATAGTAGGTTTCGTAAACGCTGCAGCAGGTCAGAAATCGCGTGCATATCATAGACAGATGAAGAAGCATACCCNNGAATGTGTTGACTATACCAAAAGAAGCGAATGCTACACACCAGCATCCGAGGACTACCAGCCAAGCTCGGGTGCCACCTTCTGCGAAGGAAGGCGCGGGAGTGGCAGGTACGGAATTGACTGTCGTTGGCTCCTGCTTGTTGTTCTCGACATTTTCGGCGTTAGGCAGGCTCGTTTGGCTCTTTTGGGAGTCTGTAGAAGAGGCCATGATGATGGGATCAGTCATGGAGCATACAGGGGAATTGTGGTTGCATGTGCCGATGCAGATGGCCACGACAAAGAGTTGTCTTATATATTACATTCATCCTGAACATCCAATAAAGTCTCGGTCAATTCCATATAACTAGCTATCATCTCCGACCAGTCGAGGTTATGACCGAATGACCAGCAGTCGGAAATGCTCGGAGACGATCGGACATGTTCGGATTTGTGATCGGACTTAAGCGTTTGAGAGGTAACACCGACTGCCTATAGCTCTTTCTCCGGCACCGATCAATCTTGTGTCTCTTTCATTGTGCAACAAGCTCTGAGCTGAGTACTGTTGACGCTCGGATATTTGCGCGTGATGTCTACTATGAGCGGTGCCGAACAAATTGTTGGTGCTACGACCGAATCGCCCGGGAAGCGGGCTCGCAGACGTCGCTTGCCCTTGAGCTGTGGTGAATGCAGGTCAAAAAGGTACACAAAATCTCTCGGATTCCTTATCTTTAACCTGGTCAAACTGATGATCTCAGNNCTCTCATGCGACCGAAACTGGCCTTGTCAGCGGTGCTCGCGAGCGGGTCGTCGAGACCTGTGCACTTACGACACGCCCACTGGACGACCGCCCGTACCGAGTCAGCGACCACAGCACCATCAGAAGCATGCGAAACAAGACGACGCAGAAGAGCTCCGCCGCTTGCGCACTGAGGTGACTAGCCTCAGAAATCTTGTCTCCCAGCGTCAACCTGATCTGAACCATGTCAACGCCGAAGGTACCACCCCAGCCAAGCTTGATTCCCCGCCAACTATAGCATCAGCAGGATTGAACAATACTGTCAACCTTCAGGCTGGTAGGTCAAAGGAAGCATCCAAATTCCATCATCCGAAGGACCGCTCACCGCACGGCTATTATGCTAAGCACTCTCTTNTCAAATTTTTTACAGAGGTAAAAGCCAATTTTGGGAATTTCGTTGGCGCAAAACACTCACACTCGTGCTATAGANTAACACAACTCGTCCCCTTCATCACTGAAGTCACGGAGGATTGGCTTTGTCCAGCTGGCGTGAAACTCAAGAAACAGAAAACCCCCATATCCAAGGACGAAAACTTGACCCTCGACGCATTGCTTCCTCCCAAAGATGATGCTGATCTACTGGTCTCCTACTATCTCGACAACTACGAGCATCTTCATCGCATAGTTCATGTGCCTTCGTTCAAGAAGCAGTATGATGATTTCTGGCTATCAGGTCAGTCGCGCTCACCAGCTATTGCTGCTCTGATTCTTTCCATAATGGCTGTTTCTGCCAGCGGCCCGCCTATCGGTGAGCGTTATCAAGACATAGCTCCACGCTGGGACGTGTCAGTCGATGAATGGCTGCGACAACAAAGTCCAAAACGCTATGAACTTATTCACTATCAAGTCTTGTGTCTGAGCTACCTAGCCAAACGAATGAACATGATCCACAAGAAGTTATTCTGGACAGAGTCAAGCAACCTTCTGCAAAGAGCCATCCTGGACGAGCTACCCTATACTGACTCGACGCGCCGCCCCGAAGACGTCTTCAAAGTCGAGATGAGGCGTCGTATCTGGCATGTGATACGTGAGCTTGAGCTCCAGAACTCATACGAGTTTGGTCTGCCAACCCTCCTCCATAACATTGACTGCAACCTTGGAGCTCCTGCAAACATCGAGGATGAGGATTTCGATGAGTTCAGTACGCAGATCCCTGAATCCAGATCAGCGGACCACTATACTCAAAGTTCATATCAACTTATAAGCGCACGCAGCTGGTCACTACGTTTGGAGATATCGCGACGCTTGTCTAGTCCCGCCATCGCTGATCCCATGACTTATGATGACGTTCTTCGGTACACACACCAGTTGACAGACGAGATAGCTAAGCTTCCGACTTGGGATACATCCTCTCATAAAAGTCTGCCCTCAGTCGTCCATGGATTCCTGAAGTTTCAACTCATGGAGTGTGTCCTTGCTATTCATCGACCATACCTGCAGAAGGACGGCTCAGCGTTCTGGCTTTCAGAGAACATCTGCCACCAAATGTCCCGAGAAATGCTTCTGCTAAATTGTCAAATAAGTGATCTGGGTCTTCAGNCTCTGACTCGCTTGCGCGAAGATTTATTGTTGGGCTCGCTGACTCTAACACGAATCATGTTGTTGCATTCCCCTTGTAAGTTATTCTTCTGATTGCACAATCAATAGTGTACTAAAGCTTTCNCAGGTTCCACTAGTATCATCATGAGCTGCGCCAACTCCATCATCGAGCTCATGGAACGTAGTCTAAATATAGCAGCTGAGAGATCATTGCGCTGCCGCAAAAGCGAGCCTTGGTGCTTTATTGTAGTCAGTGCTGCTATTTCGTTGCTCAAAGTGCATTTGGGAATCTGGGATCGATCAACCGCCAAATACTCTTGTGCGCAAGCTTTCCTAGATTTTCACAAATGGCATCCCGCGAGTCAAATCTTGCAACAACCGACTCCTCAGTCTTCACTACCAGATGTATCCAGGGTGAGTTGAATGGCTCAGGGCGCGACAGATGTGATGTCGAGTCGATATCCACGATAGAAGCTAATCAAGTCTTACCCTAGGAGTCACACGCTGGTATCGATGGCTCGACCCAACTCAACGAGATCCAGCCATATATAGCATGGCTAGACGGTGACATCTTCGATGTGAGTATTGGAGTACTTCAGCATGACATTACGTTCAATATCTGCTGACACGATATTGCAGTTTGGTTTTGACACTTTCAATTTTGATGTGAATGCCAATGATATGCTGCAAGATATGTCGACGGCTCCAGTTTAGACTTGGATGCTTAGATAAGGTTCAGCTGCATTCACCAAGCCAATTACTTTTGTGCGGACGAGACGCGGGGATAGCATGCTATACTAAGTATCTAAGGGTTTGTCGGCAAAGTGAACCTACTTGAGTGACATGGCGGCAGAACGAGTAGACAGGTTGACCTTGATGAGCTATAACCAAAACCCTGAGCAGAGGCTATACTAGAGATCGGGCTTTGTCGATAAAGAGGTGTTGTTTGCTGCTTCAAAGTCAGAGTCAAAATATGAAATATCATCGACCAGAGAGGTCCAAGGAGAAGGTGAATGGCAAAGAAACGATTGAGGGCAGGAGGCATACCATAGGAAGAAAGCTTGTTTTTCTTGGTCACATCATCGGTCCAGAGTGGATTTGTTATGTTGTTTCTCTTCGCAAGACGGGCTAGTACACTGTGCAAGATCGAAGCGGCGTCCATATCAGTAATCTTGGTATCGACCTTAACTCGCCTTGAAGTCTGTGTAGGAGATCTTCGAAGATCAATTACAAGGACTGGTGGGGCCGCCAGCAGTACTTCCTTTGGAAGAGATACTTGAAATCTCTCGAACACTTTCCATGCGAAAGAATCGAGCATCATCCATGTTATGCGGTCTACAGGTGTGAAACTCAAGAGACAATGAAGCGGAACATGGAATGATGGAAATGGTTCAACATTGGAATCATAAACAAAAGGACGAAGAAAGCGATATTGAGCATAATAAAATCGAGACAACCTTGCTCTTGTCTTCGAAACTCTACAACCTCTGAGAAGAGAACCCACAAAACCTTACAAACTCTCACACCCCTCAGCCTCATCATCTCCAATCCGCCAGCACTCCATTAATCCTTATACCAGCCAAATGCAAAAGATCAATAACCACAAAAGCAAGCACAAATCCAATGACCATAGCATCCATCTGATGCCAAAGCCTCGTAAAGTATGCTTTAGCGTCACCTACCCAAAGCCATTCACCTCTTGTTCGTCTACCTGCCTTTAATCCAGGAAGACCATCCAAACTATACGCATTGTTTTTAGCGCGGTAATCCACCATTTTGTTATCGGATACGGTTTTGCCAGCCCAGTGGCCTAGTGTCTCACGATCCAAGAGTCCTTTGTGTTGTGTTTCTGAGAGTAAGGGCACGCCATAGCCGCAAGAGGTTTGGACCNNTACACAGCAAAAACCAACGTCAGTTATCGCAGAAGTACTCAAAAGCAGTTGCTTCAAAGCGTATACAAAGCATTGCTCAAAAGGAAAAAATCTCCATACCTTGAAAATCTCCAACACAATAACCGCCCTCGCACCCACCGGCACCTCTTTCCCCATCCTCCTCGTCAACACTCCAAACTCCTCATCCCAAAACTCCACTACTCTGCCCTTACAAAACAACCTCAAGATCCTGGGTGTCTTCTCAAACGAACAGAACATAATCGTGCACCTTCCATTCTCGTAGAGGTGAGCGATGGTCTCAGCGCCAGACCCAGTGGCATCGATATAAGTTGCTTTGTTCGAATCTAGGATGGAAAACGTGGTTGAGGGAAGTCCTTTNGGCGATATATTGACGTGATCGCCGTGGAGGGGTGCAGAGGCGATGTAGAAGAGGGGTTGGGACATGCACCATTCGCCGAGCTCTGGGGATAGTGAGTCGTAGAATTTGACCATTATGATTCTTGTTTGGGTGGAGTGTGATACGTATAGAGTCAGACATATAAACAATGGAAAGATGTTGGTATGGTCGTGAGTTATGACTTGAGGTGAGTCACCCCCGCTTTTGGCTCGGGGATGCCGGCTATTGCGGACGTTTTGGCATTTTGCGATCCTGTTTTCCAACATCATCTTCGACCATCGACTGGCGACCAATGTGTATGATTTAACATGACTTAAATGATAGCGCATGGTAGGATACCTTCTTGATGATCATGTGAACCACTTTAATGGTACCGCAGATTAATACTGGGAGGGCTTCTAGGCCCTCGCTGCGAGAGGACGATAAGAACCAATTTGTAAAATACTGCATAGGACAAATTCCAAAGCGTTAATGGCACAACTGTGTTAAACTTAGACCGGTCACCACATCCTGATCCCAAGACCGCTACCATGAAACCATTAAGTCAAGCATCCAAGAAACAGCAGCGAGAAATCTGAAGCACAAATCCAAAAGCACAATAGACACATAAACACAGCATCATTAAACACAAAACCAACTTGATTAGAACTACTTGATTCAAATCCCAAAACCCATAACAAAACAGAGCCAATCCCACAAAACACCAACTACACACCGCGATTGCAAAAGCAGAGTGAATTCCAAGGAAAAAGATATACTCGCGACGAAGCCACAACAAAAGAGAAAAATTCTGTAACGACAGTGATGTATCTTTTTTTTTTGTTCCTTTTTTTTCAGTCATGTCATGCACTCATCAAAAAGATATTCTGATGGATGGAAAGAGTGAACTGCTCTAAGTTGTGACGAATATGCGATGAATCAAGGACTGTGGTAAACACCCTTCCGAGTCCTGCGATTGCGCGGCAGAGGTGTAGGTGTCGGATTATATCTCCTCTGTTTTTGTAATCAGCATTCTCTTCAAATCCACTTGAATCAGCGAATGAAACTTACGTTGAATTCTTCATCACTCAAATCGCTATCACTGCTCTCTTCTCCCTCATTCCCGTCATGAACCTCATCTTTTTGTCGTTTTCTGTGTTTTCTCCATGTTCAATTTTGCCCTCTTCCTCTTCTTCGACGATCTGATCGAGTTTGGCTCTAACATCTCTAACAGGGATATTGAGTTGTTTCCTCAAGAGTGTGAAGAGAAGAGCATACCCATCACTTCTTCTTTCCTCAAATTCAAACTCGACAGCTCTGACTGCAGCATAATATGCTCGTTCTTCAGCCAATGCTTTTTCCCTCTCCGGATCACTGATCATGCGTTCAGCAGATCTGCGTCGACCTTCAGGCGTCAAAGGCTCAAAGGGTTCGTAAGGAGGTTCGGGCGTAGGGATAGGTGCACGTTTGGGTACGTTTTCAGATCTTGGATGACCGAGAATGTCCAAAAGACGGTTTGGATTGAATTTGGGAAGTCTGGTTAGAAGACCTCCAGTGATCAGACCATCATAGAACGGATCTTCCATATTGTCGAAATTGGTGATGATGTCTGCAGGTCTTTGTTTTGGTGTTTTCTTTATGGAGGGATTGCTGATGGGTGTAGGAGGCAAAGCAACATGTACGTTGGGTTCGCTCGCGTGCTCTGAAGTGTCGATCTTGCGTTCCAGTCGCTGAGTGAGAAGTGCGTTTTCGCGAGCTAGGCGATCGCGTTCGAGTTTTAACTTTCTGCCTTCGGCTTCGGCGAGTCTGGTTGCAAGTCTTGCATCCCGGAGTGCTTTAGATGGAACCTCTNNTGTTTGTTAGCTTAATGCGGTGGATCACTATATATCACACATACCTGATGATGTGGAATCCCCGTCATCGTCTTTGACCTCAGGAGGACAGGCCTTGGTCTGCTCTTCGAGTCGCTTGACAAGTGCTTCCTTCTCTTCCTCTAATTCCTTAACCCTTTTCTCTGCCGCTTTCTTCTCTTCATTTGCATGATGAGCCTTTGTCTGTTCACCCAGAAGGTCGTGCCACATGTCGTCGTTCCTAACAGCAGCTTCATCGCATTCTTTTCTTGTCGCTTCAGCCCGCGCCCTGTACATTTCCTCCATGGACCTGCATTGACTGTGGTCTTCGGCCTCGAAAGCCCGCTTCAGTCGAGCTGTGTACCATTGAAGTTCCTGCTCGACTCTCTCCTTCTCATAAATGAGCAACTCGATGTACATGTTCCTCTCGAAATTGATACGCTGCAATTTGGCGATTTCTGGGTCGGAAGATACGTCCTTGATGACAGGAGTTTTGTTGAGTTCAATCTGGCTCATCCAATGGTCGAGACCCTTCCTTGCACTTTCGGCTTCCTCAATTGCTCTGTCCAGTTTTTCTTGCAAGAATGGATCTCCATTAGACTGTTCCTTGGCTTCCTCACACTGCGAGAGTTGCGTCCTGACAGCGTCGCGCTCTTCAGTAGCCTGCTTCCGCTGGGCCACCGCATCCTTGAGGCTGTCCATCAGCTTTCTGGATCTCATCTGCTCGTCGGTGAGTTGGTTTCTCAGCTGTTGGGCCTCCAGTTTNTTCCTCTCGGCAATGTCTTGTCTCTTATGGGCATCTTTCTGGACATTTTGCACCATGTTTCTGAGATTCTTGATAGTCTCTTCAAGCTTGGCGACTCGCTCATCGCCGTCTTTTTCATAATCGGCGATTCTCTTCTCAAGGATTTCGCGTTTGCCGCCTTTGAGGCACTCACTGTGATCAGCACCTATATTGTACATCTTCTTGTAGTGATCGTTTTCCTTGACGGCAGCGGTGAGTCCTCTGTCCAGACCTTGGACCTGGGCTTTCAGTGCGGCGATTTGGTCGTTCAGTTGACGGGTTTGACTTTCTGCATCGCGACACTTCGAGTCTGCTTCGGCCCGGTCGTCTCTCAGCTCGTCGCGTTGTGTAATCAGAGCATTAATTCTCTTAGTACACTCCGTGTGATCGATGTCGCCAGAAGAAGCTTGAGCGTCCGATTTGCCTGACGTGGTAGTTTCGATCTTGATAGGCGAGGTCTGAGTCTCAACATTCGAAGTCGACACCGAGCCTTGGACTTTCTTCAGTTCCTCGACCCTCTCTTTCTCAGCTGCCCATCCATCACGCTCATCGTAGAATCTCTTGCGCAAGACCTTGTTGGCTTCGTGACAATTCTCCAGATCCCTAGCCGCTTGCTCGAGTTGACCCTCCCTCATCTTGACCAGATCTTGCGCGATGATGAACTTGAGCTCAAGCGAGCCAGGAGGAGGATACTCATCGTCATCATCGTCCCCTCCGTGCTCACCACCCTCGTCATCACCAGTTCCCTTCTTCTCAGCCTTTGCCTTTTGTTTCCTCAACCATGTGATCTCGACTCTTGCTTCCTTGAGTTG